TACCATGCCGTCACAATCAAATGACATCACTAATGGCTCTGCCACTGAAGCTGTTAGCAGTTACTATTTACACTTAAGACACTGCTTATTGCTGTCTTCAAACTGGAAAAGTTGGGAAAACGATGTTGGATGATAAATAAAATCTCACCCTTGTGTATTTTGATATCAAATATATTAACACTCGTTGATAAAGTGGAAAAACTCCTCGGCAAGCTTTGGATTTCATTCACTTTAATCAACTCGTGTTGATATATTTGATATCAAAATACACAAGGGTGTGATTCTCCATATTTAATAACTGGTCCAATCTTATTTGCTTTTGTTTGTCAGGATGGTGCCAGGTATCAGTCAACACATGTTCATCATATAGAGCATCATATAGAGCATGTGTTTATGAATCACTATCAAATAATGATGATACCAGGTGTTCACGAAAAGGTGAGCGTATCCTGCATCACAGGAGACACCCGTCACAAACACATGCAAAAGCAAGTCAATTGTTCACCTGAAAAAATAGACAGGAACATAGGGAATGGCATCGGGCATCATTTTTGTCACTGATGTGTCAAATTTGGAAATGTCCTCCACATGTCTGCCATAAAACATCAAAACACCTTAGGGTACAGACATTGAAATAACAAAGGTATATTTCCCAACGTTTTCGTGATATGATGTTTTCAGAAGATCATATTCGTACAATGTGTCTTAACCGTTTTATCCGTAAGGATATGTCTAATTCACACCTGCCGTGGTGCCCGATGTTGAGACTGGCATCCCCCGTGTTATCTTAACAGTAAGACTGGTCAGGCGACAACGCCCTCCCGCAGCATGGCTCACCACACACACACAGCCAGCAATCTGAGACTGCATTGAAGCAGTCGTCTATTGACACACCATGCATTTTATAGCAGAGTGGTTTTGTGTCTACATCCACCCGAGGCAAGATTTACATTGACTCATCGTCTCCTGGAAACAGTTCAACAGATCAATTGGGAGCGTTAGGGAGAAATGCTTGAGATTTAGATCACGAACATCCAGAAACATATACAATGAAATATTTGACATAGGACCGTTCATGATTGATGCTCACGGTACCTGGAACCTCCCAGCTGCCACAGAATCCAAGCTCTTGCATATAAATTTAAGTATCTGTCAAATTCGTCTATTTATTCGTACAGTATGAAATTCCAAGAATTCACCAACCACTCAAATGTTTTTAACCACACTACATTTATTCTGTCATATGATATTTTGTGGACACGCTGTGGTGTGTGTTAGTTATGAAACACTATGGTCATACGAAGTAATTATTAAACAAATAGGTCACCTATCAAGAACATTAAATGTAAACAAGATTTAAAACGACGCACCGAAACGCAAAACACAAATATTCCTTTTGCTTTGTACATAATTCTTCAGAAATTCCTGGCATCGTTCAATTTATGATAATGAAGGGAAAGGGAAGTAGAGAGTTCCACGATCCACCTTTGGTGTAGTGACTGAACGACACTGGTGGATTACTAGCGTCTTTCAAAATATGGCACCATATACCGCTTATTCTTGTTCAATAACATTCAAGCAATGAAAATGGTGGACTATGTATTCGATAATACATAAGTAAGTACACTACTCTCTTGTTGTAGATAAAATAACTGATCTGGTAATCAAAATATAGAGGTGTATTTTCTTGTCACATAACATGTTCATCTCATCAAGTGACCCGACAAAGCGTATTTTCAATGTCATGCCTCGACATGAGATAGACATTATTCGACAAGAAAATATATTTTATTTAAGTCTTTGAAAGGCATTTAGAAATGATATACATAAGGAAGAGAATTTATGGATGTCAAACTTCTTTATTATGAGGAACACAACGTTGCGGAGTCTATACTTACTCCTTCATTAGGTGAACGGGAAGAGAATTTATGGATGTTAACTTCTTTATTATGAAGAACACAACGTTGCGGAGTCTATACTTACTCCTTCATTAGGTGAACGGGAAGAGAATTTATGGATGTTAACTTCTTTATTATGAAGAACACAACGTTGCGGTGTCTGTACTTACTCCTTCATCAGGTGAATGAGTAAGAATATACTCCGAAACGTTGTGTTCTTCATAATAAAGAAGTTGACATCCATAAATTCTCTTCATGATATTCTATTCTTACAATTTTTTCTCTGCAAAGGACAGTGCCATGGCGACGGACTGAAAGTACTTCCGTTCACATTTCACTCAAATCTGATACCAATTTAATATTTTCAGATATTATATAGTATTCCAAATTCAGTTTCATATAAACCTAAAACATACAATTGTTTCAATAGACTGAATTGTCATGGAATTGTGATTTGTGTTAACTGTCACTTGAATACACTTTAAAGGTCTTCATAAATTACGAAGATTTTAGTGTGTTATGGTTCACTAGGCAGGAGCACACTTAGTCAGAAATCATTATTAAATAAAACAGAAAGATAATTCACCGAGTGTATGGCATCGTTTGTAATGCATAGTATGTCCACTTTCGTGTCAACTGATATAGCTATTCTTTAATATTCATTATGGTGTTTTATTATCAACCTGATGCTAATTTATCATATACTGTGCTTTACATTACGTTATACAATGTTAAACTGTACGATAACTCACTTCATACCTTATATTTATAATTTATGATACAACTTGTACTACTGCGTTCTATGATATCCTGAACTATCTTGACGATTATCTGCCCAAACAGATTCCACCTGGAGTAAAAGACAAACTAGAGGTGAAAATTATACGAATGGATCACTGTAAATCAGTGAGGACACCGGGTGTTCGCGGAAAGGGTAAACATGTGGTAACAAGAATTGCCACAAGTCTACTCACTCTCCATAGCGTTTCTGTAAGCCATGTTTGTGTAAGTCGCGAACACAGACTACCTTCATAAATGTTTAAAGTTTTGGAAACATGAAGTATAGTATTCTTTCTACAATTCTTGTTGGAAACATTCTTACCCATAACACATTTAGTATTGTTAGGATCGAATACCGGTACACAAAATATGAGTGAGTGAGTGAGTTAGGTTTAACGCCGCTTTTAACAGTATTCCAGTTATATCACGGCGTGTCAGCTTAATGTGGGAGGAAAGCCCGAAGTGATGCAGGTCTCGGACGTTTACCACTTCGGCGAAACCCACGAGCACGGGTATGGTGCTGACAAACCTAGAAACATAATCGGGGCGGACCGGGATTCGAACCCACAATCATAGGTTTCTGGCGTGCCCAAGGGACGCAAATCTGCAAAGCGAATCGCGGCGCCTTAGACGACTGGGCCACCCGTGCCCCCACAAAATATGACTTACTTAAGTATTCTTGCAGTTTCAGCACAAAACTAGTGTCTCAAAACCCTTAACAGATTGTTTTATCTGACAGCATGATTTCATAAATCATATATTGAGATATACAACTGATACAGCATCGTAGGAATGTTTTGTATTTATGACAAATGTGTCTTGTACAAGACGTTAATGATCATCGATGTTGACGGACACATGACTCGGATTCTCTCACCTTCTAACAATGGCACGCGCGTGGAGTGTTTGCTCAGGTGATAGTTGATACTGTTGCCATGGTGACAGTGATGTCAAATAGCAAGATAAAACAGTGTCATTTAGCACTTTGAGTATCAATAATAGTACCGTCGTCACTGTATTATAGAATGTTTGTGTTAAGCACACTAACTGGTGCACGTTTTTTATAAATGTCCAATGGGCATATGCATAGCTCATGATATAGTCGGAATCGTACTATCGACTCTTATTGGATATTGAAAGGGTTTTGTCGCTTTATTTATTTATTATCTATAAATATTGTTTTATTGTGCAACTGACGGTTTAATAATAACAATGAATTTTCAATCTAAAAAATTCCAAAATGAATCGAAATTAATATATTTTCTGTTACGACAGTCAAGAACGAACCATCTGGAAACACCAAAAATACATTTTGTAAATTAAGCTATATAACTTTTTTACACATCTAAAATTATCGGTGAGGATGACATGACATGAAATATACCATGGTTTACAGTTACGAGCTACATGTGTATATTTAACATGCATTTAACGGTTGTCAGAAGTGGAATATTGACAGATCGTTTAATGCGGCGTCACAAACCAACCACACAATCAACAAGCCGGACTTTGCCGAATGCTGACGACGCCGGGCAATTAAGTGAGTGGGATTAGACTGCTGTCTATAATCCGTCGTCGTCACCATTCGGCAAAGGTCGTCGTTCGTCGTTGACCGGTGTTTTTACATTCATTGTTAGAGTGAGTGAGTGCGTGATTATGGTTTTACGCCGCTATTAGCTATATTCCTCGGCAGGGGGCACTGAAATGGGTTTCACACATTGTACCCATGTGACGGCGTGACGAGCGAACGCTTTTACCACTTGGCTACCCGACCGCCCTCATTGTTAGAGAATTGGTCACCTGTAAATCTCATTCTCCAGCGGTTTAAACGTGTACTTTCATCATGCAGTGTATATTTCCTGCAATTTAACCCAGCCAAGAGTATTCACTCATTAATTAAATGTACCTCTCAGGTGTTGATGGTCGCAGCCGACTTGCCACTTACTGTTGATTCAGCTACTATCCTTATTTATTTACAGTTGCTTAGCTAATCAGCTTGTATATTTGCTCTGATTTAGTTAATCAGTGATCATTCTCAGTGTTAATTGGGTTTTTGATCCTTTATATAGTCGTCTATTGATACAATTAGCTGATAATAATAAGCCTGAGAAAATTTATTACCACGTTTTCAATGGTTACTTTATTCTCGTATAATGACTGGTCTCGGGAGCAGAGCCCTGTGACACTGCAGAGTGAATATCGTTTGTCGGTGAGGGAGGGAGATTTGTAACACATATGTTATCTCAGGTCAAGTATATAATAACTACTATAACTCTTATTGATGCCAAGAATAAATGTAATATCTTCTTGTGGCGTTTCCAGGTAACCAGACAGGACTACAATGCGGTTACCCGCCTCCTTCTTGGCGCTTGCAGCCACGCTGCTGCTTGCGGATGCTCAAAACACAGGCCCATGTGAGTAACCAATTTATTGTTGCTTGTTGTATAACCTAAATATCAGATTGGCTAGTCGTTGTTAATACACACGCAAGTACACAAATGGCCGATCTGTGCAGACGTCTTGACGGCGTTATGTTTGATTCTACGTCACGAGTTATCACATCAAACACTGGAGAAAAAAAATATTGTTCCACTGCTGAAAACAATTACATTATTGCAAGGTGTTCCTCTTTAAAAAAAGACTAATAGTTTTAAATAAGGTCTGGTTTTGTAGCTACAGCGAAAATCTATTCTTGAGACAAAATACCAGCCAGCCATTCACCCTTTCCCCACTCGATTTCATTCAATACGTAACGACACTGTCACTCTAAATCACGTAACACGTTATGACACGTCACTCACCAACACTCAATACGAAATGACACGACACTCGATATCCATCAATACGTAACGACACTGTCACTCGATGTCACCAAATACGTAACGACACTGTCCCTCGATATCATTCAATACGTAACGACACTGTCACTCGATGTCACCAAATACGTAACGACACTGTCACTCGATGTCACCAAATACGTAACGCCACTGTCACTCGATGTCACCAAATACGTAACGACACTGTCCCTCGATACCACTCAATACGTAACGCCACTGTCCCTCGATATCACTCAATACGTAACGCCACTGTCCCTCGATATCACTCAATACGTAACGACACTGTCTCTCGATGCCACTCAATACGTAACGACACTGTCCCTCGATGCCACTCAATACGTAACGACACGTCACTCGATGCCACTCAACAGAAAGACAAGAATTGTAGAATGTAAGCATAATTTTAATTCAGATTTACATAAGAGCTACATTTCTGGAGAATGGGTTATCGGGCGTTGCTGTATCAGGATATTACTACACAATCTGATAGTTCTAAAGTTCTGGACAACATCTTTGTGAATCATGAAACACACCGTGATGCTGCGTTAACAGAAGCAGCACAGTGACATCATCTTAGATCGGAAATAATATATATCTAATCAAATATGAATGCAGTCATCATCAAAGAGTTATGATTATTATGATTTCTCGTTCAAGAGAGGAGGATACTGATTCAAAAATATTTCAACATCAGAACATGAGATATATGACATCTTTCTTCCGGCTAATATCACACTTGTGAATCGGTGGTGTGAAATGTACTATAACACAACCCCACCTTGATAGCATTTCGGGTTGAAAGGGAGGACATGTCACAGAAGATTGTCATTATTAGTAGGCCATGACATCTATAACGTGTCAGTCACGTACTCACGGCTGATCTTAAAGGTGTACGGAATGTCATCATTCCTTGTCCTGTGCAGAATAGTATGCTCCACTCAACTGGCCAGGACGTGGTCGGTTCATGAAACACGTTAGAAAACTTAATATTGAAGTTGTAGATTGTCACAATACTATTACATTTTCACTGTCACTTTTCACTGTGGGGTCGCTTCCTAGACGAAAACCACTGATGGCATTTTGGTCCTTCTGTCCATTACACTTGTTCAACAAATCAGATGGATTTCACTTGTTTTTTCCAAAAGCATAATCTTCATGTGGCCTTTCTTCCCGAATCACGACGTCCTTCAACTTTGGAAGGAATTTGTGAGTCATGGTTTGGGACGAACTCACGTCGTTGCTTCCGATCCGAAACATGTCGATTTCTGAAACCATTTCGTCTAGCTTTCCAATACTTCGGCTGACAGTGGGCAAACTGTTTTCATTGCGTTTTCCAAACCTGGTAAGTTTCAATAGATATTTTCTTTGGCAGAACTTGGCCATACACCAATCGATAGCTTCAGTGGCGAGCGTCGTGCACAGCTTGTTACACATGGGTGCATTCACCGCTCCTGATGGAACCAGTAACAGTAACAGTACGGCGATACTGAAGATGCCCTGCATTGTTGCTCAGTCGCCAGGTGCTCTGCTGACGTCCAGTCCAACTCTTCACCACTGTCTTGTCAGTTTATGAAGTCTATTCTCACTGAATGAAAGTCGAAACCTCTCTCATTAGCCTAAACTGGCATTGTTCACAGAAGTATATTGGTGTCTAATTTGGATGGAACGTGGGCGATATTAATGAGGAGCGTTGTCAACGGTGGACTATTATCAGAGATCTCATTGTAGTACACATATTCAGGGCATCAATTACTGTAAGAGCTTACTAAGGTCTGATGTCATCATTCAGATGGTAATTACCCTATGTTATCATCAGATATGTTTCTCATTATGTAACGTTATGAAATGTTGTTGTACCGAATGGCCGAGCTGTGGAGGGATTCGCACAGTATCAGTATATTCGAACAAATTGTATCAAGACATAAAACATTTTGTTGATAACAGCTTCTCTATTCTTTGAAAAAAAAGATGTTGTTATTCAAAAAAAGTTTCATGTTTTCTGGTTCTGGGAGTTTGCTGTGCACTCACTCGATCAGTCACTAACTCACTCACTCACTCACACACTCAATCACTCACTCACACACACACTCACTCACCCTTCCACCCACCCACCACCCAATCAATCAATCAATCAATCAATCAATCAATCAATCAATCAATCAATCAATCAATCAATCAATCAATCAATCAATCAACCAACAACTCACTCACTCACTCACTCACTCTGTTGACTGACTGTTGAGTGTGTGTAGCCATAACAATTACAGTGACGTTTCCTCGTAGATTCAAACGTTCATATGGTAAGTGAACCAAACGATACTACAGCTTTCATAGGGAAGTCCATCACCCATAGCTTCTTGTCCTCAGTTTTGTATGTTGACGTTTGAACACATTAGTCACCAGTAGATGAGACGGTCAGGTGGGAAAAGACCTCGAATCGCCCTCGTGTCCCTCTTCCTCAGGTTCAGCCAGCCTTCAAGAAACAGTCACATTATGAAACGTCTCAAAAAGTTGTTCTGCATGTGTCAACAACTAAGGGAGGTAACTCTTATCACATTTCCTGCTATGACCTGGCAACGTAGACATTTTACGTTTCAGTCATTTTTTGCCACTGACAATCACAACACACTTACAAAAATCTCTTCTGCCATGTAACATAAACACACTAGCCAACATCTAATACATAAACGTTTTTGTCCTCTTCCCCAGCATGTAGTGACAGAATGGACATCGTCCTTGTCATCGATGGTTCAGAGAGCATTGGGACAGACAACTTTCAGAAAGTAAGATCAGCCACGGAGGCCTTTGCTCGACAAGCATTCAACCGTGTACAGAATCTCAGATTGGGCATTGTCGTCTATGGTACAACTGTGGAACAAAGCATATACCCTTCCAGCACCAGAGAAGAAGTGTTTCAAACTCTCGAAAACCTTGTCTACCCAGTCGATGGTGGCACCAACACCGATCTTGGTATCGATACTGCTAGGGCGCTCTTAAACACCACAAGCAATATTAGGGCCATGGTTGTGCTCACTGATGGGCTCTCCCGATTTCCTGATGATACTGAAAAATCTGCAAATGCTGCAAAGTCAGAGGGCATTACAGTTTACAGTGTAGGAGTTACTCTGGATAGCATACTTTTTCCACAAAGCGTCATTAATTCTTACACATTGGAGCTGGACCGTATTGCTACATCGCCACAAAACAGATTATCTATCGACAACTTTGACCAATTATCGATTTTGGCCAGTGGGCTCCTGAATCAAGTTTGCGTCACTCAATGTAAGTATCACAGTCCCAGGTAGAATTATTTTGGATGACGACATCTTATGACATAATATACGTCAATGCAAAAAAAACCCTCAGTCTTGACGGCCAAAACAAATTCAATTCGGCGTAAAAGGCAAAATAGTTGTGAAAATTATATGAACGGACCACTGAAAATCAGTGATGACATCATGTGTTCGCGATCACCACCGATGGATGGATGCAGCATTAATGCGGGGCTGGATAAGCGATCAGATCTAATGATTAAGGTTTGGTTAATGTCACATACGAACTGTATCATTTACTGTATCACTTACATCAGGACCAAAGCATAATGTATCCTGACGGAAACAGTTCCTGTGCATCAGTATCAATACATGAATGCAAACAGAACAATGTATGGGTATCCATGAAACATGAACTCATCATGACAGTGTCAACACATGTCCACTGTAAATGTCAACTCAGACTGAAAGTGTCGCGGGGTCAATTGTCAGTTGTCAGTATTGGGTAACCAACTTTTTTAGTGACACAGGCTTGACAACGGCGCCTCATTGACGACACAAGATGGTTGAGAAGGCTTGTGCGATGTCGCAGCAGGACCAACGTTACCGGAAGTTCAGCGACGTTTAATTTCAGCCCCCATATGTTTGATATGCAAGAGATCTGGCGACACAGCAGGCCAAGGGAGTTTAGGGGTTTAATGTTAACCAATGAAGTCTGACACGATCTGCCGTTGTACAAAACAACCTTAGCGCTACGGCTGTCGTAAGTCTATGTTAAGGTATGGGAGTTACGATCACCTAAGATCGATTTGTACAACGACGCCCAGATATATAAGACTGGAATATTATTCAACATAATGTTTTCATGTTATTTTAGGAATGTCTCAAGTTGCTGAGGTCATGTATTTTCAGTGACAGTAACATCAGGGCTTGTTGACCAGACCATCTTTGTTGGAGACACCTTAACTCTAGTGGCCCGCATGAGTGAGTCCGGTCTACAGGATATCCTCTGGTTCAAGGGGAACACCCGCTTGCCCAGTGACCCAAGGATTACATATTCCAGTTCTGGATTCGAACACCGACTTAGTATTACCAATGCGCAGCAGAGTGATTCTGGCACCTATAGCCTCACAATCAATGGGGTCAGCACTTATGGACAAGTCACTGTACAAGGAAATTCAAGTATGTATACTGAAATTATTTCGTTTCTAATATGTATTTATAAAACGTCATTGCAAGAGAATAAAGGACAAACTAGCTGTGAAAATTAAGTGAATGGATTACTGAAAATTAGTGATGACACCAGAAATTCGCGAAAAGAGTAAGAATGTCAGTGAGAGAGTGGATAAAGTACTTAATGTTATTTCACAAATGTACATTTTGTTCGTTTAAGCAATTACGCTAAGTGTACCTGGTGTAAAATTACATAATATCCTCACAGCGAAATAAGAGTATTGGCTATCTGGCATTGTTAAAGTTTGGCCGAGAATATGTAAATAGCCCACATGTCCAGGTACTTTTGGAGCATCAAATATTGTCAACTTATTTGTTATCATTTTTCAGATCCGGGATCAACTGCAGGTGGGTTTTCTCTCAGTACCAATAAAATATAACATCATTGTGGCATCTTTGAAGGCCGTGTAAAATGTAACTTGCCACACGAAATGAACACATGTAAAGTTTATGAATAACACTGAAAGATATCATTATGTGTTGATTAAAAATAATAATTATTTTAAAAGATTATTGATTTTGCGTTTTTCTATGTGTGTTTAGGAACATAATTATTATTTGATACGGAAAGATATCATTATTTGTTGATTAAAAATAATAATTATTTGAAAAGATGATTGATTTTGCGTTTTTCTATGTGTGTTTAGAAACATAATTATTATTTTGTAGATATTTCCATGTTGATCAACCCCCCATTTTCATTCTTTGTTGCTAGTCTGCCGCGAAAATATTGATGTGTTCTTGGCTATCGATGGATCAAACAGCATCAACCCTGACCCATTTGAGTTCGAGCTTTTACCTGCTGTAGTATCATTTGTGGACGAAATGTTTAACAGAACCCAGAATGGCCTTCGTATGGGATACGTTCTCTACAGCAGGATCATCAACAGTGAGGTGAACCTGTCTCGCAGCGATGCTTTCATACGTTCCTCACTACTGGGTGAGACATACCCCAATGAGGTCACCAACACCCATCTAGCTCTTAATCGCATCAAGGATCTGTTTGACGCACAGACGACCGACTCTGCCAAGGTTGTAATGGTGATTACTGATGGCGCGTCGGACGATTTAGCGGCTACTGCACAGGCAGCATTGAATCTGAAGGCCGCAGGAGTACAGATAATAGCAGTCGGTGTGGGTGACCTAATTAACCAAGAAGAGCTCCGTGGACTAGCATCATCTTCTGACATGGTCATCCTTGTGGAAAACTTCCAAAGTTTGGCAACACAGCTACTTAATATCACCAGCCAGTGTAATGGTACGTGTCTTTCAGAGTATGTCCTAACTAAACATTACACGTGTAGTTGGGTACCCGTGAAGATCCGGGTGAGGAAAGGCCTGAAGGAACTTATTCTTGTCGTATGTGGCGGTTAATTTATAAAGGATCGGGCGGAGAGGCTCGCTGACTTGGTTGATGCATTTCATCGTATCCTAATTTTGGAGATCGATGCTAATGATGACAACCACAGGATTGTCTGGTCAAGATTATATAATTTTAAGAGCGCCGTCATGTTGCTGGAATATTACTGAGTGCGGCGTGAAACAACAAACAAACAAAAGAAATCACATGTTTTTGACCTAATCTGATCACAATACCAAAGATATTACACGAATACCAACTAAAACTATAAACATATAAATGTTGTATAACAGGCCAATTGGCTGTAGAGATTGGAAAATGAGAATGTTCTTTTTCCTGTGGTCAGGTGTGTTCTCCCCTTGGACGGAACAAAGTCGTACTCCTTGTACTGTGCCCTGTGGTGGAGGAAACCAGATAGTGACGAGGACAAGAACCTGCTCGGGTGGATCCTGTGTCGGCCCGACGTCGGAAACCTTCTCCGTCAACTGCAATACTGCCACCTGTACACGTGAGTGTCACTCAATACAGAATCAGACTCCGATATCTCGAAAAAAACTCAACTTTTTACTCAAATCTCAAACTTAGTTTGAGATTTTAACTCAGCTGAGTTTCTAACCCAGTCGCGTTTCTCAATACACTGTTCAAGTTTCTCCCAAACAAGGGGAAACGATAAATAAAACGCACTCCCCACAAAAACTGAACCACATAAAAACTCGTCGGGCTCCATAAACCCGAGAGGATGTTGTCTGTGAACTATACTCCTTGATTACGGGACCGCCTCCGTGGTCTAGTGGTAGAGCGTCCGCCCGGAGAGCGGAAGGTCCGGGGTTCGATACCAAAAGACGTTAAAAGATGGTACTTGTTGTTACCCTGTCTGGCGCTTAAGCAAGGACTGGTCGGCTCGGAGTCAGTATACTGTGTCTGAGTGGGATATTCATGTTAAACTGCGGCATGGTATCTCAGTAGGGTAGCACTATAAATCGGCATCAGTCCGGACTAGTACAAGCAGCCACACAAACACACACACGTACATGCACGTCGCTTTTTAAGTGCAATAATCTTGGACGCAACGTTAAACCCCGTTCCACAACCACACCTTGATAACGTGGATATTCGTTTCTCCCTAAAGCGTCTACGCCTTTTCATCAGAGCAATTTTATGACCGACCGAAAAACTTACATTACCTACCCAACTCAAACTGTAGAATCAGTTTTGATTACAAAATCGAACTCAGTTTGTTTCGAGAAATCCATTTTGCATTCTTTTGAGTTTTCTCAAATTTTAACAAAATCTCAGACTTAAGTCAGTCTTTGAACTTAAGTTTTTTTCGAGATTTCGGAGCCAGAACATATAACAATGTACAATATATGACTGTATGTTTAATTACATATTCTATATTGTTTTAGTGCTTCAGCGTTTCGTCGATATTGACGTCTTTGAGGGGGACACCTTTGAACTGGTGGCTGTCTTCGGTGAGGCTAATATACCCGGAGCTACATGGACTAAAGGAGGACGCGCAATATTCAATGGTGGCAGGTTCTCGACCTCAGGAACAGGATTCGATCAGACTCTCAGAGTGACCAGCACACAGATGACCGACGCTGGGCAGTATGTTCTCTCTGTGGGTGGAGTGACCACCTTTGCCACAGTCACAGTCCGACAACGACAAGGTCAGTTGTTCTTAAAAGTGTTGCTGAATAGAAAAATAGACGTAGGCCGACATACGCTGGGAATAGGAAAAAGCCTAAGCCTAAAGCTCTAAATGTGAATCTTTGTAAATGTTAATGAGCGAGTGAGTCGGTTTGGTTTAACGCCGCTTTTAACAGTATTCCAGTTATATCACGGCGTGTCAAATTAATGTTGGAGGAAAGTCCGAAGTGATGAAGGTCTCAGACGTTTACCACTTCGGTGAAACCCACGAGCACGGGTATGGTGTTGACAAACCTAGAAACATAATCGGGGCAACCGGGATTCGAACCCACAATCATAGGTTTCTTGCGTGCCCATGGGACGCAACTCTGCACAGCGATTCGCGGCGCCTTAGACGACTAGGCTTACCCGTGCCCCCTAATGTCAATGATATTTTCTCTAGGTGTGAATAGGTATAGACCGATATAGATTTTCTCTAAATGGGTATAACATCTATAAATGTGAATGAGTATAGGAGGATCTGCTCTCTAAATGTGAATGGGTTTAGGAGAATCATCTTTCTAAATGTGAATGGATATAGGCCGATATTCTCTCTAAATGTGAATGCCGATAGGCCGACATTATCTCTAAATGTGAATAGGTGTAGGCTGAGATTCTACAGGCCGATCTTTTTACAAATTGTTATTGGGTATAGGCGGATTTTATTTAATTTGCACAGGAGAAGGTAGAACGTCTCCAAATGGGGAAAGGGGACACCCAATGGAGATGTATTCCGACAGGTTCTCACAATGGGCCTTGAGTTGTTGAACATATATCTCTCATTTAACATATGTGTAGATCCGACATCCCTCTAAATGAACAAACATGAGATCCGCCATTCCCTCTCAGTGAAGCTGTCCATGAACCTCTTCAATATCACAATGTCTGATTCGATATCATCTCTCACATGAATAGGTCTTCAGTAACCCATGCTTGCCGTAAAAGGTGACTATGCTTGCCGTAAGAGGCGACTAACGGGATCGGGTGGTCTGGGTCGCTGTCTTGGTTGATGCATGTAATCATATCCCAATTGCTTGGATCAATGCTCATGGTATCAATCACTTTATTATCTGACCAGACTCGATAATTTACAGACCGTCGTCATATCGGTGGATTATTGCTGAGTTCAGCGTTAAACAACAAACAAACAAACAAACCTAATGGACATAGGTGGGAGACTAATATTCTCAACTGTTATGTAATTCGATATTCTCACCAAACCGACCTCGTATTGGAAAACTTCTTTTAACACCACTCAGAGAAAACATCACTCTGAAACGTAGAAACAATTAACTATTTTAATTAGTAAGGATAAGGCATATGGATGAACAACTTCTTTATTACAATATGGAGCGACGTTTCGGTGTAGGTTCTAACACCGTCATAAGCAAGTGAAAAGAAGTTGTTCATCCATATATCTTATCCTTACTTAGTACTCCAACTTCTAAATCCTCTCAAACAAGTTAATTTAATTAGGCGTTGGCAAAACCGCAGAGGTATTCCTGAAGCGATTACATTTAACACGGAAAGTGCTTTTTAACTATATTTAAAAGAACAAAATTCAGACATAGCTCATCAATACTTATAGTGTCCGCCCATAGTGTCCGTCACGAGGGTAGATACGAATATTGTTACGATTAAGTCAATATGTTGCATGAAGCTTGTAACACTACAACTCTTGATATGACCAGGAGTGTTCACAACCTGGACTGAGGTCAGCAGATCGGCCTGTTCGGCTCCTTGTAACGGCGGCACCCAGACTGTCTTCAGGACCCGCACCTGCCAGAGTGGAACATGTTCTGGCCCCACGTCCCACACTACCACAGAAAACTGCAACACGGCGCCTTGTACCTGTGTGTACCAACATATATACTGTCTCTATTTCTGGGACACTGTTATTTTCCACTGCTTAATAAACACATTCTCATCTTCAATGAGTTTGCTGATAAGTTGTAATCTGTTGTGGGATATACTATTTTCAACATTCAAATAATATCAGCTTTTATTGTATTTTGTAACTATTTCTATGACGTTATAAGAACAACGTATCTTTGTTCACACCGACACATCAAAGTGTTCATATTGCTTAAACATATTTCTTAATCATTTTGTCAATTCCATCTGAATGCCGTCGAATTGCCACGTTTCTTAGCGCAATAGTATCAGATAAATGAAAACAGCACAGAAACGCCTGGATTGTGCGGCCATGTCATTGAAACCCTAACACTAACGTTCTCACGGTTGTAACGTTTTTCTCAGGAGGAGCCGTGAAGATCCGGGTTAAAATTGGGCTTCAGCAACCCATGCTTGTAAGGGGAACTACCAGGGTCGGGTGATCAGGCTCGCTGACGTGGTTGATGCATGTCATCGTATCTCAACTGCGTAGACGATGCACATGATATCAATCACTGGATTGTCTGGTTCAGTCTCTATTACTTCCAGAACGCAATCATATAGCTTAGTGCGACATTAAACAACAAACAAACAAAACCAAATATCATCTTTGTAACATGTTTCATTTTTGAGCTCAGTGACATTGAATCAAGGTTCATACTGTACATTGAAATCTGATTCCAGTGCTGCAACGGTTAATCAATATTCAAGTGACAGTGGGAGACACCTTCAGCCTGACGGCTGTGTTTCGCGAAGCCAATATTCCTGGGGCCAGATGGACCAAGGGCGGTGTTGTGGTCAACAGCAACGGCAGGTTCTCCATCACAGGCACTGGCACAGACCAAACCCTCAGAGTGACCAACTCGCAGCTGGGTGATGCTGGCCAGTACACCCTCTCTGTAGGAGGAGTGACCACTTTGGCCACAGTCACAGTCGTGCCACGAAGTAAGTGCTTGAGCATCCACTTCTTCAGGGTATCAGTGTCATGTCACTCTTTGCTATCTTGATTTGGAAGGTTGTTATATTTCTAAAATGTTTATTTCTTGTTGTGGCAGTGTCATGTATTTGTAATAACTTTTTGCTATTTTGACTTTGAAGATTGTTTATATTTTATTAATTTGTATTTGTTGTTGTTGCAGACACACCAATAGCAGGTATGTAAATTTCTTGCTTTAACATTACCAGAATAAAAACGTGCAGAGAGGCAGTAAAACCATTCATTCGAATTGACAGTCACGTGGATAAACATACCATTGGGGTGGACAGTGTCATATTTTGGTTGATAAGATGATATTTGAGTGAGTAAGATCACATTTGAGTAAGGATAAGATTAATGAATGAACAGATTTACAATAACGAGCGACGTTTGGGTGCAGGTTCTTACACCGTTATCAAGCATAGAATCACATTTGGATGGATAAGATCACATTTGGATGGATAAGATCACATTTGGGTGGATAAGATCACATTTGGGTGGATAAGATCACATTCTAGTTGATAGTATCATATTTGGGTGGATAAGATCACATTTGGGAGGATAAGATCACATTTGGGTGGATAAGATCACATTCTAGTTGACAGTATCACATTTGGGTGGATAAGATCACATTTTAGCTGATAGTATCACGTTTGGGTGGATAACATCACATTTGAGGTGATAAGATCACACGTAGTTGGATAAGATCACACGTAGGTGGATAAGATCACATTCTAGTTGATAGTATCACATTTTGGTGGATAAGATCACATTTGGGTGGATAACATCACATTTGAGGTGATAAGATCACACGTAGTTGGATAAGATCACATTTGAGTGGATAAGATCACATTTGAGTGGGTAGTATGAAATTGTCAACGTCCCAAGCAATAACCATAGGTAACCTTTAGTAACTACGAGTAACTGTTGGTAACTGTGGGTAACTGTTGGTAACTGCAAGTAATTGTTGGTAAATGTTTGTAATTGTGGGTAAATGTTGGTGATTGTGGGTAAATGTTGGTATGTGTGGGCCTCTGTGGTAACTGTGGATAACTGTGGGTTTGTGGAATAACGGAAAAATAGGTTTTACTTCAAGCATATTTGAATCAGCAGGGTGTCATACATCAAATGTCTCTACATCATGTACAAATATGTTTTAAGTATTACTCAAACAGTATACACAATGAAAACAACATAAGTGAATACACGAGCTAATCAGAATCAAAATCTATATGCATCTATTTATATCATATTGGGGTTTGTGAAGTAAATAGTATATGTCTTTCTAACCAGTATGTCAAGGAAGCCTCGATATCTTCCTCGCTATTGACGGATCAAACAGCATCAACCCCGACCCCTTTGAGTTCGACCTTCTGCCAGCACTGGTGTCATTCATCGAGGAAATGTTCACACGCACAACTGATCTCCGTATGGGCTACGTGCTGTACAGTACAATTCTCCGAGGGGAGTTAGATCTAACAGCCGACAGTTCTCTCCTTAGTCAATCAGTGGCAGGTCTTCAGTATCCAAACGGCGTTACCAACACACATTTAGCCCTGAATCGAATCGACACACTGTTCACTGCCAACAACAGAGACGCAGCCAAAGTTGTCATCATCATTACGGATGGAGCATCAGACGATCGCACCCAAACAGCCGCGGCAGCAACCACCCTGAAGAACAAGGATGTGCAGGTGATGGCCGTGGGCGTGGGGGATCTCATCGACCAACAGGAGCTGCGCAATCTGGCCTCATCTCCGGACATGGTGGTGCTTGTGTCAGACTTCGCACAACTTGCTTCACAACTCACCAACATCTCCAACCAGTGCAGCGGAGGTATTGACTTGTCTTTGCATGTGTTTGTGACGGGTGTTGGGGAGGATATGCTCATCTTTTCGCGAACACCTGTCATCAGTATTTGATAATAATTCAAAAACACATAGAACGATTTTGTCGCTTTTATGAAATTGGTATGAACTATTATGCATCATACACTGCTTTAAGCAGAGATTTTACATAATCATAGAAATGGTTCTGACGCTGGTACTTAACCCTATGTAATGGGAACATTTGCCCCATGCGTAGACAGTGTCATTTTACATGCAGGAGTTAACTACAGGCGGAACGTACTAATGTTAACATGAGGCCACATCTATATCTCACACTTAACCAGTTTCTTCTTCTTAGTGACATTTTGAATGAAGAAACAGGAACTATTTAATACCACCTTGTTCCTGATTGTCAACTCTTAGCCTTGTCCCATCTCTAATCGTAGTTGCAGTATGGTCTGAATGGATCTCCCAGCCTTTAGTTGGTACACCGTGCACCAGGAGCTGCGGAGGAGGAACACAGCAGCGGACGTACGTGAGGAGATGCAACAGCACGGCCTTCACCAACACCTGCCCCGGAAGCAGCAGAGATGTTCGGAATGAAGTCTGCAACACACAGGGTTGTCCCAGTAAGTGAACGACCGCTTTGTGTAGAGTTTAGAGGCCGTGCCTAGTATGTCACTTCCTTTGTGTATAAAAGCATTCCATCAGTAACGATCTTACAATATCCTGGTAAGATATGTCCGCTTTTCAGTGAACGTTTATCACTTGGGGAAAGCAATTATTATTATTATTATTATTTGTGAACGTGATGTTTGTTTTTCCCAAGTGCCGTACGTCATACGTTTTAGGACAGGTATTGTACTTCATGGACTCAACACACACACACGCACACACATACATACACCAAACACATCACACACATATACATGTACACACACACGCACGCACGCACGCACGTCTAGTGTTAATTCGATAGCAATTGTTGAATCGATGGTGAAGGGAGATATTGTCAGTTTATATCAATGTACACTATCGAAGAAGTATCTTGAGTACATGTTTGAAAACCAATAATTATTTGTTTTTACAAAAAAACAATGTATGGGATTAAAACAATGACATAATCTTTTGTTAGAAGTGAATCCTTTTTGAGTTTTTCTCTTCATCAATACGTTTACCTGTACCTCCAGTAGTACGTCTAGTGACGCTAGTTTGCATGTTCTGTTATACACGTGTTCACATCACAAGTAGTTCCCAAACTTGCACCCGGACAAATAGAATGACGAATACTCCATGAACATAGAGTAAGGTATTGCTGGATAGATAAAGGATTGGAGGTCCAGAAATATACAACTTTACTTTTGATAAAAATGATTTTATCTTTCCACGATGTTATTATTCAACCATAGCGTTCCGATGGTTGGATTGGGTAGGTTGACAAGTAATATGTTATTATTAAACCCTAGCGTTCCAGTGGTTGGATTTGGTAGGTTGACAAGTAATATATTATTATTAAACTCTAGCGTTCCAGTGGTTGGATTGGGTAGGTTGACAAGTAACATGTTATTATTAAACCCCAGCATTCCGATGGTTGGATTGGGTAGAGAGCCGGACGGAATGTTCCGCCTCCTGTGGAGGAGGGTTGCTCACAATCACCCGCACCAGAACATGCGAAGACCCCACGAACTCGTGCGCTGGTTCCTCCAGTGAAACCTTCCAAGTTGCATGTAACACAGACGTCTGTACAGGTTACTGTCTGTTCTATCTGTCATCAGTGTGTAGGTAGACGCACGTGGCACATTAAGCCCCCGACAAGATTTACCAATGTCGTACATGCATCCTACTAACCAACAAGTCTAAATCTTTTTCAGGATAATATATTGCCTTTAAGGCTTTAAGCGTAAGTAATATTACCTCCGTGTCGCCGATATGCTGTTCCCTGTATGAACGTTTCGACCTTGGTAGCTGTTTGAGGTGAATATATACGAATATTAGGATATAATAGGTGATATGTTTGAATTAATGAGAGCGGTGATTGTATTTCTTATTACATGACTGGTATCAAGTAGGTTAAAAATTAAATATCCGGCGTCAAATACTCAATAACACCAGCAAAGCTGAAAATACATAACGTTCTTCCTCAAAGGTCTTCAAAACATTAAATTTTAACAAAGGCTTACCGTGAAATTTACTTGAAGTTTGTTTGTTTGATTATTTAGTTAGTTGTTGTTTAACGCCGAATGGCAATATTCCAGCTATATGACGGCGGTAAATAACCGACTAGATAATCCAGTAATTGACATTATGAGCATCGATCCTAACATGCATCAACCAAGTCAGCGAGTCTGACCACCAGATCCCATTAGTCGCCTCTTACGACAAGCATTGTCGCTTTTTACGGCAAGCATGGGTTTCTGAAGGCCTATTCTACCCCGGATCTTCAGAAAATTACTTTAAAGACATTTTTAATGTATGTGTTTTATGTATTTCAAAAACCAGTTAATGTTCTGGAATTTACTAATTACTTTTGAAAGGGAAGTTATTGTATTCCAGTTTACATATATTTATGTGTTGCACACAGTGCTTGTTAGTGAGGTCGGATAAGCTAGTGGTTAAAGCGTTGACATCTTGCATATGTAATCATCTAAAATAGTTTTGCCCTGTAAAATAAATGTTAGCCATATGCAAGCTGTAGGCTTCCTGTTGCGAAGAGTCAAACAGCTGATGCTAGCTGGTTGCCCTAAACTAAAGGCTACCTCTTGTGAAGAGTCAAACAGCTGATGCCAGCTGGTTGCCCTAAACTATAGGCTACCTCTTGTGAAGAGTCAAACAGCTGATGCTAGCTGGTTGCCCTAAACTATAGGCTACCTCTTGTGAAGAGTCAAACAGCTGATGCTAGCTGGTTGCCCTAAACTATAGGCTACTACATGTTGTTAAGAGTCAAACAGCTTATGCCACCAACAGCACCTATTGAGTTCCGCAGTTTACTAAGTTGATTGTCCTTCTGATTCTGTCTTCGCTGTTGTATTTCTCGATTGTATTGTGCAGATTCATGTTTATTGTCCTGCTTAACATTTACCGTCACGTTATTATATTCACAACCCACCCACACAGTCATCTTGTTGCAAATGTCGCAATTCTGTGTAACTGTCTAAAATTTGCACTAATCTGAGATAGTTTTGCACAATCCAAATAAATTATATATTTACATCCAAAATTAGATGCGTTTACAGTAATGTACGCATACATGAAATAATCACTGAGAACAACCCATCAACGCAGTTTGATCATATAGTTTTACTGCCCACGTACAAATGCCTCACTTGATCTGTGTGTCAGGCTTAACTGTTGTAGGGGGCGGTCGGGTAGCCTAGTGGTTAAAGCGTTCGCTCGTCACGCCGCAGACCCGGGTTCGATTCCCGACATGGGCACAATGTGTGAAGCCCACTTCTGGTGTCCCCCGCCGTGATATTGCTGGAATATTGCTAAAAGCGGCGTAAAACATACTCACTCACTCACTTAACTGTTGTACACACATGATCAATTTTGACATTCTATGTGTTTAGTGCTTATGTGGTACCTTACTTGCCCACCTATTGACTCACTCCTTTCCTCGGATTTCGTGTTAACCGTACACACATGTTTACTACACCTTTCCTATTGTCGAACACCTGGTGTCATCACTGAGTTTCAGTGATCCCTTCCTATAATTGTCACCACGCTATTGCTCTTTTACGCCAAATGCAATCCGTTTCTGCGGATAATCGAGACTGGTTGTTCCCTGGCTTTGACGTTTTATGTTATTGTGACCGCAGACGTCACACATCGTAACTTTCATAATGCAACTGTTTATATGTGAAGGACGTTGAATGTATGCTGTCACTTTCTTTAACTCGTAGACCTATCAAATGAAAAACTACAAATCCGAGCGTCAATATTATCCCAATGCATCACATGTCATGTCCATTACTCGTGAGGGGCGGTCGGGTAGCCTGGTGGTTAAAGCGTTCGCTCGTTACACCGAACACCCGAGTTCGATTCTCGACATGGGTACATGTGTGAAGCCCATTTCTGGTGTCCCCCGCCGTGATATTGCTGAAATATTGCTAAAAGCGGCGTAAAATCAAACTCACTCACTCACCAATTACTCTCTGAGGCTGATAACGGGAAGGCGTCTATAGCTCGCCGTCATTTGATGTTGTTTTAGTAATTGGGCGGTCGGGTAGCCTAGTGGTTAAAGCGTTGGCTCGTCACGCCGAAGACCCGGGTTCGATTCCCGACATGGGTACAATGTGTGAAGCCCATTTCTGGTGTCCCCCGCCGTGATATTGCTGGAATATTGCTAAAAGCGGCCTAAAACCATACTCACTCACTCACTGTTTTATTAATTATTTAGAAATAATATATGCATTAAATGTCCATCGTCCCCGATATCCCTGGAATATTATATGAAATGTTAATGTTCATTCGACCAATACCAATGTCACATCGGAGAAGACATGTGTCAAACACCCTCTGTCTTCCACATACAACCATCACCTATGTGTGGTATAAATGTTTCTATGTAATCTGATATACCCCTATCTGCCGTACCTACAGCAGCCTTTGGCCAGTGGGGATTGTGGAGTGTATGGACCCCGGGATGTCCGCTGTGCGGATCCAACCCTAACATCAACCAGCAGAGAACCCGAGACTGTGTGAAAGCCTCCCCAACAGACCTGGACTGTCCCGGAAATGCTGTAGACAACAGAGTATTTACCTGTACCCTCATCCCATGTCAAGGTAAATGTTCTTCTAAATTGTGTTGTGTATGATTTTACTATAGACTGCCCTTAATAATTTTGATTTCAAAAAGTAAACTTGAGACAGATGTGCGGTCAGGTATGTTGTATTGTGACAAAATTCAAGCATGGCTTAACAAACAATTGAGGCTTAAAGTAGGGAAACATGAATTTCATTCAGTTTCGAAACCACAACTTCGTTCGCCCACTCCAAACCGATCTGAACATGACAGAACAAGATTTGGCTACAGTCGTTTTGAAAAAAACCCAGCCTTTGACATTTCTAAATGAATTCAAATGATGACAATGATGGCGACAAATGTTACAGAAAATCTGTAAACTTGTGGTTCGTTAAATCATGCATCAGGGACACATCACAGAATACTGATCGTCTGAATTTTAGATTCATAGACGTGTCATCATTTCTTTATCAAGACATGACCTATATGCTTGTCGTAAGAGGCGACTAACGGGATCGATGCTCATGATGTCAGTCGCTGGATTGTCTGCTCCACACTCGATTACAGGTATTTACAGACCGCTGGAGTTTTGCTGAGTGCTGCGTTAAACAACAAACAAACAAGCAAAACATGACATCTACTTGGAGCGTCAGTCTGTTAGCTTCTCGCCATGTTTTTTTTTTGGTGACAGTTTAGAAGTTTTAGGGTAGAAGAAGACATGGTTGCTGTGAGGATTTCAATATTTCTATATTTTTTCAAAGTGGCGTTTCTGTACCGGTGCTAAAAACGGGGATAATTTTCCAGCATAAATTTAGATCCTTTCCATACAACATTCTTACCACAAGATTGTCGTCGATCTGAAACTTTGAATAAACTTACGAAGCCGAAGTACTAGAATTATTTTGAGGACGCTTTAAAGGGGTATTATTTCAGTTGGTTTCTGTTTGTGTTAGTATTTGTGTTTGTACTGGTGCAGTCTGCTCATGTGAATGTTGTGTTTTAGCTACCTGGAACAACTGGGGACAATGGAGTAATCCAGGTTGTCCTACATGTGGTCTCAGCATCACACGAACTGTCACTCGAACCAGAACATGTAACCAGGTAGCAGGTCAAGCATTTTGCTCTGGATCCAGCACTGACTCTGACATCAGAACTTGCAGCATTCCCAATTGCAGAGGTACTTACATTAATTAATTTGGAATGAGCCTGCACATATTCTTTCATAAAGTCATACATACATGATCCATAGCAAAGTAGGGAGTCCCCCATTTCGTAAAACATACCGAAGTCAAGCCTCTTAGATGTCCTTAGAATTGAACATTATCCGAACATTTCAATGATCATCTACGTAAAATACGATATCATTTGAGTGTCATTTAACAATCCAAACTAAAACAAGACATTGGTACTGAACATGCTTTTTAAACACATGTTTGTGCATGGTGATGTTGATGTAAAATCATCAGATACCACATATCGTTTATGTACAGAATACCTTTCAATTCTGGGGTCATACTGACACCATGTGTAACTAGACTGTAACTCATCGGATTTATGAAGTTTAAACTTCTCTCAATTTAAGTACATGTTGGGGGCAGAAAGTAAATCACAAGGGAAACCAATACGTTTAAATGTCTAAAGAGATAAACAAATGTTGATATCCATCCAGGGTTTTGTCCTCACAATTCGAACATTTGTAGGGCAGGTACAGGAACATGTGTAAATCCACCTTTTCACTCTAAAGATTAGCTGTCATTTGAATTAAGAAAATGAGTGTTTAAAACACATTGTGCCTTCAAATCAAGTTGCTTTTGACTATTTGAAATGAATTCACTGATAGTAATACATTACAAATGGAAACAATTTCGAAGTGTGGATATTCTTTGGCTTTGGGAAAGTGGGGGTACTAGTCATGTAGTAGATGGATACGAAATCCCACTACTTCTGGCAGTGATATAGTACTGTTTGCAGTTGATGACGACACGGAGGGTAACAAACGTTGGTTATTTCAGGAACGTGGGCAGCGTGGGCCTCCTGGGCCACGCCCAACTGTCCTACCTGTGGACCAGTCGGTACACAAAGACAGGTCTTCAGGAACAGAATATGCAACAAAGTTTTGACAACTTATGACAACTGTATCGGGTCAGGCAGCGATTCGAGATTCGATACGTGTTCAATACCAGTGTGTACAGGTACGTCTTAGGTTGACATGTACGGATGTGTACATACACATTTTCCTCTCCCACAGACTTTGTTTAACGTGTCAGTCATTTCATAATCTTTTCATGTTCGTGTGCTTGCAGCTTTGTGTTCGTTTGTATTTGTGTTACACGTCCTTACATTTTACCCACGTGTTGTACTTTTGACGAGTTTGTCTGAGCCAACGTTGTAAACTGGCAACATCTTCTGTTGTTTTGTGTTTGTACTTGTGTTTGTGTTTGTGTAGTGTTGTCATGTGAATGTTGTGTTTTAGCTTCCTGGAACAACTGGGGACAATGGAGTAATCCAGGTTGTCCTACATGTGGTCTCAGCATCACACGAACTGTCACTCGAACCAGAACATGTAACCAGGTAGCAGGTCAAGCATTTTGCTCTGGATCCAGCACTGACTCTGACATCAGAACTTGCAACATTCTCAATTGCAGAGGTACTTACATTAACTAAATTGGAATGAGCCTGCACATATTCTTTCATAAAGTTATACATACATGATCCATAGCAAAGTAGGGTGTCCCCCATTTCTTAAAACATACCGAAGTCAAGCCTCTTAGATGTCCTTAGAATTGAACATTATCCGAAAATTTCAATGATCATCTACGTCAAATACGATATCATTTGAGTGTCATTTTAACAATCTGAAGTAAGACATTGATACTGAACAAGCTTTTTAAAGCATAATACAACATGTTTGTGCATGGTGACGTTGATGTAAAATTATCAGATACCACATATCGTTTGTATATAGAATACCTTTCAATTCGTGTGGGTAAAACTGACACCATGTGTAACTAAACTGTAACTCATCGGACTTATGAAGTTTTAACCTTCTCTCAATTTAAGTTCATGTTGGGGACAGAAGATAAACAAATGTTTGATATCCATCCAGGGTTTTGTCCTCACAATTCGAACATTTGTAGGGCAGGTACAAAAACATGTGTAAATCCACCTTGTCACTCTAATGATTAGCTGTCATTTGAATTAGGAAAATGAGAGTTTAAAACACATTGTGCCTTCAAATCAAGTTGCTTTTGACAATTTGAAATGAATTTATTGATAGTAAAACATTAAAAATGGGAACAATTTCGAAGGGTGGATATTCTTTGGCTTTGGGACAGTCCGGTACTCAGTCATGTGGTGGGTGGATACAAAATCCCACTACTTCTGACAGTGATTATGTGCAGTTGATGGCGACACAGAGGGTAACAAAACGCTGGTTATTTCAGGAACGTGGGCAGCGTGGGCCTCCTGGGCCACGCCCAACTGTCCTGCCTGTGGACCAGTCGGTACACAAAGACAGGTCACCAGAAACAGAGTATGCAACAAAGTTTTGACAACTTATGACAACTGTATCGGGTCAGGCAGCGATTCGAGATTCGATACGTGTTCAATACCATTATGTACAGGTACGTCTTAGGTTGATATAGACGGACGTGTTCATACACATTTTCCTCTACCACTGTCTTTTTTTAACGTGTCAGTCATTGCGTGATCTTTTCATGTTCGTGTACTTGCTGCTTTGTGTTCGTTTGTATTTGTGTTACACGTTCTTACATTTTACCCACGTGTTGTACTTTTGACGTGTTTGTCTGAGCCAACGTTGTAAACTGGCAACATCCTCTGTTGTTTTGTGTTTGTACTTGTGTTTGTGTTTGTGTTTTTGTAGTGTTGTCATGTGAATGTTGTGTTTTAGCTTCCTGGAACAACTGGGGACAATGGAGTAATCCAGGTTGTCCTACATGTGGTCTCAGCATCACACGAACTGTCACTCGAACCAGAACATGTAACCAGGTAGCGGGTCAAGCATTTTGCTCTGGATCCAGCACTGACTCTGACATCAGAACTTGCAACATTCTCAATTGCAGAGGTACTTACATTAACTAAATTGGAATGAGCCTGCACATATTCTTTCATAAAGTTATACATACATGATCCATAGCAAAGTAGGGTGTCCCCCATTTCTTAAAACATACCGAAGTCAAGCCTCTTAGATGTCCTTAGAATCGAACATTATCCGAACATTTCACTGATCATCTACGGACACTACGATATCATTTGAGTGTCATTTAACAATCCAAACTAAAGTAAGACATTGATACTGAACAAGCTTTTTAAAGCATAATACAACATGTTTGTGCATGGTGATGTTGATGTAAAATCATCAGATACCACATATCGTTTGTATACAGAATACCTTTCAATTCGTGTGGGTAAAACTGACACCATGTGTAACTAAACTGTAACTCATCGGACTTATGAAGTTTTAACCGTCTCTCAATTTAAGTACATGTTGGGGACAGAAAGCAAATCACAAGGGAAACCAATACATCTAAATGTATATAAGAGATAAACAAATGTTTGATATCCATCCAGGGTTTTGTCCTCACAATTCGAACATTTGTAGGGCAGGGACAAGAACATGTGTGTATCCACCTTGTCACTCTAGTGATTAACGGTCATTTGAATTAGACAAAGTGAGTTTAAAACACATTGTGCCTTCAAATCAAGTTTTGACTATTTGAAACGAATGTATTGATAGTAGAACATTACAAATGGGAACAATTTCGAAGTGTGGATATTCTTTGGCTTTGGGAAAGTGGGGGTACTAGTCATGTAGTAGGTGGATACGAAATCCCACTACTTCTGGCAGTGATATAGTACTGTTTGCAGTTGATGACCTCACGGAGGGTAACACACACTGGTTATTTCAGGAACGTGGGCAGCCTGGGCTTCCTGGGCCACGCCCAACTGTCCTACCTGTGGACCAGTCGGTACACAAAGACAGGTCACCAGAAACAGAGTATGCAACAAAGTTTTGACAACTTATGACGACTGTTTTGGGTCAGGCAGTGATACAAGATTGGATACGTGTTCAATACTATTATGTACAGGTACGTCTTAGGTTGACATGTACGGACGTGTACATACACATTTTACTCTACGACTGACTTTGTTTAACGTGTCAGTCATTGCGTGATTTTTTCATGTTCGTGTGCTTGCAGCTTTGTGTTCGTTTGTATTTGTGTTACACGTCCTTACATTTTACCCACGTGTTGTACTTTTGACGTGTTTGTCTGAGCCAACGTTGTAAACTGGTAACATCTTCTGTTGTTTTGTGTTTGTACTTGTGTTTGTGTTTGTGTAGTGTTGTCATGTGAATGTTGTGTTTTAGCTTCCTGGAACAACTGGGGACAATGGAGTAATCCAGGTTGTCCTACATGTGGTCTCAGCATCACACGAACTGTCACTCGAACCAGAACATGTAACCAGGTAGCGGGTCAAGCATTTTGCTCTGGATCCAGCACTGATTCTGACATCAGAACTTGCAACATTCTCAATTGCAGAGGTATGTTGACTTCGTTTTTAGCTGTTTGCAACAAATATGTCAGCTACATTAATCACATTGGAATGAACATTCACATATTCCTATATAGAGTTACACAAAAATGATCCATGGCTAAGTAAAGTGTCCTTCATTTCTTAACACATACCAAAGTCCCGTGTCTCAAAAGTATTTAGAATGAAACACGATCCAAAAATTCCAATGATCATCTGCGTAAAATACGATATCATGTGAGTGTCATTTAACAATCCCAACTAAACTAAGCCATTGATACTGAAAATGCATTTTAAAGCATAATACAACATGTTTGTGCATGGCGACCTTGATGTAAAATTATCAGATACCACTTAGCGTTTGTATACAGAATAATTTTTAATTCGAGTGGGATATACTGACATCATGTGTAACTAGACTGTAACTCATCGGAGTTTTAACCGTCTATTAATCTAAGAACATGTTGGGGACAGAAAGAAAATCACCAGGAAAACCAATACGTTTTAATGTATATAAAAGATAAACAAATGTTTGATATCCATCCAGGGTTTTGTCCTCACAATTCGAACATTTGTAGGGCAGGGACAAGAACATGTGTGTATCCACCTCATCACTCTAATGATAAGCTTTCATTTGAATTAAGAGAATGAGTGTTGAAAATACATTGTGAGAAAAGTCCCTTTTGACTATTTGAAACTAATTTATTGATAGTAATACATTACAAATGAGAACAATTTCGAAATGTGGATATTCTTTGGCTTTGGGAAAGTTCGGTACTCAGTCATGTAGTAGGTGGATACAATATTCATTCCCCTGGCAGTGGTGTAGTACTGTTTGCAGTTGATGACCTCACGGAGGGTAACAAACGCTGGTAATTTCAGGAACGTGGGCAGCGTGGGCCTCCTGGGCCACGCCCAACTGTCCTACCTGTGGACCAGTCGGTACACAAAGACAGGTCACCAGGAACAGAATATGCAACAAACTTTTGACAACTTATGACAACTGTATCGGGTCAGGCAGTGATTCCAGATCGGATACGTGTTCAATACCATTGTGTACAGGTACGTCTTAGGTTGATATAGACGGACGTGTACATACACATTTTACTCTACAACTAACTTTGTTTCACGTGTCAGTCATTTCATGATCTTTTCATGTTCGTGTGCTTGCAGCTTTGTGTTCGTTTGTATTTGTGTTACACGTCCTTACATTTTACCCACGTGTTGTACTTTTGACGTGTTTGTCTGAGCCAACGTTGTAAACTGGTAACATCTTCTGTTGTTTTGTGTTTGTACTTGTGTTTGTGTTTGTGTAGTGTTGTCATGTGAATGTTGTGTTTTAGCTTCCTGGAACAACTGGGGACAATGGAGTAATCCAGGTTGTCCTACATGTGGTCTCAGCATCACACGAACTGTCACTCGAACCAGAACATGTAACCAGGTAGCGGGTCAAGCATTTTGCTCTGGATCCAGCACTGATTCTGACATCAGAACTTGCAACATTCTCAATTGCAGAGGTATGTTGACTTCGTTTTTAGCTGTTTGCAACAAATATGTCAGCTACATTAATCAAATTGGAATGAACATTCACATATTCCTATAAAGAGTTACACAAAAATGGTCCATGGCTAAGTAAAGTGTCCTTCATTTCTTAACACATACCAAAGTCCCGTGTCTCAAAAGTATTTAGAATGAAACACGATCCAAAAATTCCAATGATCATCTGCGTAAAATACGATATCATGTGAGTGTCATTTAACAATCCCAACTAAACTAAGCCATTGATACTGAAAATGCATTTTAAAGCATAATACAACATGTTTGTGCATGGCGACCTTGATGTAAAATTATCAGATACCACTTAGCGTTTGTATACAGAATAATTTTTAATTCGAGTGGGATATACTGACATCATGTGTAACTAGACTGTAACTCATCGGAGTTTTAACCGTCTATTAATCTAAGAACATGTTGGGGACAGAAAGAAAATCACCAGGAAAACCAATACGTTTTAATGTATATAAAAGATAAACAAATGTTTGATATCCATCCAGGGTTTTGTCCTCACAATTCGAACATTTGTAGGGCAGGGACAAGAACATGTGTGTATCCACCTCATCACTCTAATGATAAGCTTTCATTTGAATTAAGAGAATGAGTGTTGAAAATACATTGTGAGAAAAGTCCCTTTTGACTATTTGAAACTAATTTATTGATAGTAATACATTACAAATGAGAACAATTTCGAAATGTGGATATTCTTTGGCTTTGGGAAAGTTCGGTACTCAGTCATGTAGTAGGTGGATACAATATTCATTCCCCTGGCAGTGGTGTAGTACTGTTTGCAGTTGATGACCTCACGGAGGGTAACAAACGCTGGTAATTTCAGGAACGTGGGCAGCGTGGGCCTCCTGGGCCACGCCCAACTGTCCTACCTGTGGACCAGTCGGTACACAAAGACAGGTCACCAGGAACAGAATATGCAACAAACTTTTGACAACTTATGACAACTGTATCGGGTCAGGCAGTGATTCCAGATCGGATACGTGTTCAATACCATTGTGTACAGGTACGTCTTAGGTTGATATAGACGGACGTGTACATACACATTTTCCTCTACCACTGACTTTGTTTCACGTGTCAGTCATTTCATGATCTTTTCATGTTCGTGTGCATGTGGTTGTGTGTTTGTATAGTAGTAATACGACCAGGAGTTGATGTTTGTTTATGTATTTGTTTCAGGCAATGTTGTTGGAAGTTGTTGCGGTGTATATTAGTGGCGTTGTGTTGTGTTGTGTTGATGTATTTGTCAGAGACAATGTTCTAAAGTAATAACATTTGTATTGATCTGCGTTTGTGCTTGTGTTGTGTAGTCTGGTCATGTGAATGTTGTCTTGTAGCCACCTGGAACACCTGGGGCTCGTGGGTTGACCCTGGATGCCCTACGTGTGGTCTAAGTATCACACGAACTGCCTCTCGAACCAGAACATGTAACCAGCTTTCGGGTCAAACGTTTTGCTCTGGGTCCAGCTTTGGCACCGAAGTTAGGACTTGCACCATTCCCAATTGCATAGGTTTGATTATTCAACTTTTTTGTCAAACCAAGTCACACGAATGTAAATTCTCTCTCATATTTCCTTCTTTTTTCTGTTTCAAATCTGTCTTTGGTTTAGGTGAAATATAAAACTGGAAGCGAATAATTACAACACAATTTTCTAAATTTATTTAGACATGAGAAAATGTTTTGAAATACCTCATTGTTTGGCTGCATACACTTTAGAGACAAAAAAGACACATTTAGAACTGATTATAACCATCCTGATGTGGAATTCGAATAATCACAACCTTAAGCAAGCAGTTAACATACAATATTTATAGGTACCTGGGGCACGTGGACAAGCTGGACTCAGCCCAACTGCCCATCCTGTGGACCATCGGGGACCCAAAGATCTGTCTCGCGATCAAGAATTTGCACTAAAGCGCAACCGACTGATGCTGATTGCCCAGGACTAAACACACAGTCTCGAGTCGATGCCTGTTCAATTCCAATATGTACAGGTACAATATTCAGTTTAAGATCCCTCTGTACATCAATACGATAAGTCTCCTGATCTTCAGTGTCTGACATTGGATTGTCAGTCTTGTTTCGTTACAACAAAACGGGTTCATTGATTGAACAGTGAGTGATTTATTTCCGACTCTTGCAAACAAAAGCGACTAAACCCTTTTCCATATTCATAAGAAGTCTATTGTACAATTCCAACTATAAACCGATTTCATTGCCATTGAACTTAAGTAAATGCCTGTTCTTGTGAAATTACTAGCAAAGCTCACAATGTAGGTGTTATGTAAACAGCGGTTTCTCTTAGATGTGTCCATGTCGTGTTTTAGCCGCTATTAGATTAGTTGAGTTGGAGCTGTAGCCCCTATTAAATGTGTTGCATGTTGTTGTGTTGCAGCTACCTGGAACACCTGGGGATCATGGGTGGACCCTGGATGCCCTACGTGTGGTCTCAGCATCACACGAACTGCAATTCGAACCCGAACATGTAACCAGCTGGCGGGTCAACAGTCTTGCTCTGGGTCCAGCTTTGGCACCGAAGTTAGGACTTGCACCATTCCCAATTGCATAGGTTTGATTATTCAATATTTTGAGAAATCAAGTCACACGAATGTCAAATATCTCCTAACTTCTACTTTCTTTCTGCTTGAAGAGTGATCTTCATGTGGTTTAGGGGAGAAAAAAAACCTGCCAACGTTTAACTACCACTGATATCGGTGAGAAATATAACTGTAGACGATTACACAATTTTGTTACTTATCACGATATAAGAAAGTCCTGAAAGTCCTCAGTGTTGGTATTCACTCAACATAAGAAATATAATATGACTCACTTGTAGAACTGTTATGTGGAACCCCGCACATCAGGACCTAAAAACAAGTATAGGGTCGTGGTCCACCACACAATTATGAGTGTATAATTCATTTGACAGTATTTACAAATTTATTAATTGCAAAGAGTTGCAACATGCTTTCTTAAATTTGCAACAAGTCACGTTTTTTGTGGTATTTTCACCCATCTACATTAATGGTTTTTTTCTCTGTAAATACTGATATCCCCATCCCAGAAGTTGTAAAACATGATTTATCTGTTTATATTCCTTAGCAGTGTGTCTAACTGAAGAACTAGAGAGTTTATCCTATAGAAAGAGAGGGTTCGAGTGAAACCTCAACTGTCACTGACGATGGGAGCTACCATTTGGGCACCGACTTGTTTCTCAGCAGAGATTTGCTAGGGTAGATTCGTGAAGCTGCTTGGACTACGCTTACTTTGTGGCAACGGAGATATTAATACCTGTACCCACAAGGAAATGGCGCATTAGTCCTGTTGCATATTGTTGTACAATGTGTGAACCAACAAAATAAACATGTGCCAGTCCTTGAAATAATGCAGTGCGTGTCCCGACTAAAATAATTTCTGTATTGTAGTCTATTCTTTGTTTTCTGAACGTTGGAGAGAACAGCCAAGACCATCCTCGCACAATGTGCCACGTTATCAGTCTGTTGTTGGTGGTTCGACACAGTGAACGAGCTTGCAGTTCACAAACCATTCTGTCTGTACCTTGGTATCTCTGTAGTGTTGGTGGTTAGACAGTCGACGAGCTGACCATCCTGTCTGTATCATGTTATCTCTCTATTGGTGGTTGGACTCTGTCAACTAGCTGAGTGTTCACAGGCCATCCTATGTTATCTCTCTATTGTGGGGTTTGGACTCAGTGGCCTAGCTGGCTGTTCACAGACCGTCCCGTGTGTATCGTGTTATCTCTCTATTGTAGGGGTTTGGACTCAGTGGACTAGCTGGCTGTTCACAGACCGTCCTGTGTGTATCGTGTTATCTCTCTATTGTGGGGTTTGGACTCAGTGGACTAGCTGGCTGTTCACAGACCGTCCTGTGTGTATCGTGTTATCTCTCTATTGTAGGGGTTTGGACTCAGTGGCCTAGCTGGCTGTTCACAGACCGTCCCGTGTGTATCGTGTTATCTCTCTATTGTGGGGTTTGGACTCAGTGGACTAGCTGGCTGTTCACAGACCGTCCCGAGTGTATCGTGTTATCTCTCTATTGTAGGGGTTTGGACTCAGTGGGCCAACTGGGTGGTCACAGGCTGTCCCACCTGCAGTCCGTCCGGTCAAACCAACACTGGGACCTTCACGAGGGTCAGAACATGTAACAAGGCGATAACAACATACGCAGACTGCCCTGGTTCAACCACAGAAACTAAAACAGACACATGCAACGTTGCCACGTGTAGAGGTGAGAACAACATTGGGAATCTGTTGATGTTGAATATAGTAGGAATATGTCATTGTTTTAATAATTTCTTTTAATTTTGTCTTTGTTGCTTTTATTTGCATTTAGATGTGACTACAAATAGTTGATAAAGTGCAACAAATGTTGCGGGTTCGCGTAGGTGTCATCAAAGTTGTTATCGTCAAACGTTTACAGAATTGTATGTCATACATTTGTCGCTTTTATTCTCGCCTACGCAAACTCTAACCCCCAACCACTTCCCCAAAACCATTCAGTCGCAGCTGCCAACCTTCTATCTGCACTGTTTTTCGTCTATACGAAAGCGGCTCGTCGAAAAACTAATTCTGATTTGTGGAGACAACCTCTAACGCGGAGCCCCACCGGGTTGTCGTTCTGTGTGTCGGGTATAGGTAAAGTCTGAAAGGGCATCTGTGTATAAGTTTCGCGTGTAACGAGAAACACCAAACCTAGCTAACTGTGTATTAGTACATGGCCTCAGTCGGGTTAAAGATTAGATGAGAGTTAAAAATAAAATTGGTATAATATCGAGCAATGATATGCCAAGGGTGACAAGAATGAAGGAGCATACTGACGTTTCTTTTAGTTAGGGTGAATGTGACATATACTGATAGTTTGAAGCAAAGAAATGATCCGTGTGACAAGAAAGGAGTTCCGTATTAAACCCTGTTTCAGTTGGGACATGGACCGCATGGACAGCCTGGTCAGTTGGCAACTGTTCCAGTTGTGGGACCAATGTTACCACCCAACAGACTCGAACGCGAACCTGCTTTAAGACCAACACAGCCGACACCGATTGTCCGGGAACAACAATTGAAACCAGAACAGCTGTGTGCCAGATTTCCGCGTGCCAAGGTAGTCAACAGAACATAACCTCATACATTGCCATGCAACCACAGGCCAAACAAATATGTTAGAATAAGTTAAACTGTTAGTTCAGACATGAATATATTTTCACGACGAAACCTCATACATTGTTGTCGTATTTGTGTATTCACAGAGCACTGTATTTGGTTGCTTAGTGATCAATGGTTAGTATGGTCAATACTGTTCCTGCTTGTGCTCCATCGTAGCCCGAAGCTGCTTTTAGACAAATCCAAGCGACGCCAATTGTAATGGAAATACAGTTCCCACACAATCGGTTCTCTGGTAGTGATCACTGCCACAGACAACTGTCAAATACAGAAATAGTTTTCATCTAGGGTCTTTTTAGATGATGAATAAATCTCCATCTCATTAGCACATTATTTCTTATCGTAATTTCACCTAAGAACACCATGTAACCATACTAGTTCTTTTTGTGTTCTGTTATATGTAATCCATTTAGTTGTGTTGCAGCTCCAATAGCAGTGTTGATGTTGTGTTGTGTAGTCTGGTCATGTGAATGTTGTGTTGTAGCCACCTGGAACACCTGGGGCTCGTGGGTTGACCCTGGATGCCCTACGTGTGGTTTAAGTATCACACGAACTGCCTCTCGAACCAGAACATGTAACCAGCTTTCGGGTCAAACATTTTGCTCTGGGTCCAGCTTTGGCACCGAAGTTAGGACTTGCAACATCCCTAATTGCATAGGTATTTGACCTTGTTATTGATTTATCGTCAATGCAAGTACACCGACATGTTCCATGTTCATCTTGTTCCATGTTCCATATTCAACTATATCATTGATAGTGAAGAACTAATATTTTCGAAAACATAATGCGATACGACATGTACGACATGTTGTTGTTAGTTCATCATGTACAAAGCATAGTTTCTATGCAAATGGTATTTCATTGGTTTGAGCATTGTCAGGGTACAGGAATGTGTTTTTTCGACCTGGTTGTGCTGCTTAATCTGTTTTACTTGAACTAGCAGAGTTTACGTCCGGACACTCTGTGACAACATTGTCACACATGACCGTTGAAAAAGAAATTATTAACACTAACAGATTGCATGTTTGGATGTACTTCGTAAGGGGCGTTATGCTGTATAAATCTATGTAGATGTTGATGGGTAACAAACGCTGGTTATTTCAGGAACGTGGGCAGCGTGGGCCTCCTGGGCCACGCCCAACTGTCCTACCTGTGGACCAGTCGGTACACAAAGACAGGTCACCAGGAACAGAGTATGCAACAAAGTTTTGACAAGTTACGCCGACTGTATCGGGTCAGGCAGCGATTCCAGATTCGATACGTGTTCAATACCATTGTGTACAGGTACGTCTTAGGTTGACATAGACGGACGTGTACATACAAAATTTGCTCTACCACTGACTTTGTTTCACGTGTCAGTCATTTCATGATCTTTTCATGTTCGTGTGCTTGCAGCTTTGTGTTCGTTTGTACTTGTGTTACACGTCCTTACATTTTACCCACGTGTTGTACTTTTGAAGAGTTTGTCTGAGCCAACGTTGTAAACTGGTAACATCTTCTGTTGTTTTGTGTTTGTACTTGTGTTCGTGTTTGTGTAGTGTTGTCATGTGAATGTTGTGTTTTAGCTTCCTGGAACAACTGGGGACAATGGAGTAATCCAGGTTGTCCCACATGTGGTCTCAGCATCACACGAACTGTCACTCGAACCAGAACATGTAACCAGGTAGCGGGTCAAGCATTTTGCTCTGGATCCAGCACTGATTCTGACATCAGAACTTGCAGCATTCCAAATTGCAGAGGTACTTACAGTAATTGAATTCGAATGAGTCTGCACATATTCCTTCATAAAGTTATATATATACATGATCCATAGCAAAGTAAGGTGTCCTCCATTCCAGAAAACATACAGGGGCGGTCTGGTATATTAGTGGTTAAAGCGTTCGCTCGTCACGCCGCAGACCCGGGTTCGATTCCCGACATAGGTACAATGTGTTGAGCCTATTTATAGTGTCCCCCGTCGTGATATAGCTGAAATATTGCTAAAAGCGGCGTCAGACCATACTCACTCACTTACCTTAAAACATACTGAAGTCCCGCGTCTTAGAAGTCACTAGAATTAAACACTATCCGAAAATTCCAATGATCATCTGCGTAAAATACGATATTGTGTGAGTGTCATTCAACAGTTCAATCGCAACTAAAACATTGATGCTAAAACTGCATTTTAAAACATGATACAACATGTTTGTGCGTGGTTACTTTGATGGAAAATCATCAGATTCCACTTATTGTTTGTATACAAACCCATGTTCGGTTCGAGTGGGTTATACTGACACCATGTGTAGCTAGAATGCCACTCTTCGGACTTATGAAGTTTTAACCTTCTCTCAATTTAAGTACATGTTGGGGACAGAAAGCAAATCACAAGGAAAACCAATACGATTAAATGTATATAAAAGATAAACAAATGTTGATATCCATCTAAGGTTTTCTCCTCACAATTCGAACATTTGTAGGGCAGGTACAGGAACATGTGTGTATCCACCTTGTCACTCTAATGATTAGCTGTCTGTTTTATTGAGAGAATGAGAGTTTAAAACACATTGTGCCTATAAATCAAGTCGCCTTTGACTATTTGAAATTAATTTAATTATAGTAAAACATTACAAATGGGAACAATTTCGAAGAGTGGATATTCTTTGGCTTAGGGACCGTTCGGTACTCAGTCATGAAGTAGGTGGATACAAAATCCCACTACTTCTGGAAGTGATACAGTATTGTGTGCAGTTGATGACGACACAGAGGGTAACACACACTGGTTATTTCAGGAACGTGGGCAGCGTGGGGCTCCTGGGCCACGCCCAACTGTCCTACCTGTGGACCAGTCGGTACACAAAGACAGGTCACCAGGAACAGAGTATGCAACAAAGTTTTGACAACTTATGACAACTGTATCGGGTCAGGCAGTGATTCGAGATTCGATACGTGTTCAATACCAGTGTGTACAGGTACGTCTTAGGTTGACATGTACGGACGTGTACATACACATTTACCTCTACGACTGACTTTGTTTCACGTGTCAGTCATTTCATGATCTTTTCATGTTCGTGTGCTTGCAGCTTTGTGTTCGTTTGTATTTGTGTTACACGTCCTTACATTTTACCCACGTGTTGTACTTTTGATGTGTTTGTCTTAGCCAACGTTGTAAACTGGTAACATCTTCTGTTGTTTTGAGTTTGTCCTTAAGTTCGTTGTTCTGTAGTGTTGTCATGTGAATGTTGTGTTTTAGCTTCCTGGAACAACTGGGGACAATGGAGTAATCCAGGTTGTCCTACATGTGGTCTCAGCATCACACGAACTGTCACTCGAACCAGAACATGTAACCAGGTAGCGGGTCAAGCATTTTGCTCTGGATCCAGCACTGACTCTGTCATCAGAACTTGCAGCATTCCAAATTGCAGAGGTACTTACAGTTATTGAATTCAATTGAGTCTGCACATATTCCTTCATAAAGTTATATATACATGATCCATAGCAAAGCAAGGTGTCCTCCATTCCTCAAAACATACAGGGGCGGTCTGGTATATTAGTGGTTAAAGCGTTCGCTCGTCACGCCGCAGACCCGGGTTCGATTCCCGACATAGGTACAATGTGTTGAGCCAATTCCTGGCGTCCCCCGTCGTGATATAACTGAAATATTGCTAAAAGCGGCGTAAAACCATACTCACTCACTTACCTTAAAACATACTGAAGTCCCGCGTTTTAGAAGTCCTTAGAACCAAACACTATCCGAAAATTCCAATGATCATCTGCGTAAAATACGATATTGTGTGAGTGTCATTTAACAGTTCAATCGCAACCAAAACATTGATGCTAAAACTGCATTTTAAAACATGATACAACATGTTTGTGCGTGGTTACTTTGATGGAAAATCATCAGATTCCACTTATTGTTTGTATACAAACCCATGTTCGGTTCGAGTGGGTTATACTGACACCATGTGTAGCTAGAATGTCACTCTTCGGACTTATGAAGTTTTAACCTTCTCTCAATTTAAGTACATGTTGGGGACAGAAAGCAAATCACAAGGAAAACCGATTCGTTTAAATGTATATTAAAGATAAACAATGTCGATATCCATCCAGGGTTTAGTTCTCAAAATTCAAACATTCGTAGGGCAGGGACAAGAACATGTGTGTATCCACCTTGTCACTCTAATGATAAGCTTTCATTTGAATTAAGAGAATGAGAGTTGAAAATACTTTGTACCCTCAAGAAAAGTCGCTTTTGACATTGAAACTAATTTATTGATAGTAATACATTACAAATGGAAACAATTTCGAAGTGTGGATATTCTTTGGGTTTGGGAAAGTTCGGTACTAAAGCATGTAGTAGGTGGATGCAAAATTCCACTGCTTCTGGCAGTGATAAAGTGCTGTTTGCAGTTGATGACCTCACGGAGGGTAACAAACGCTGGTTATTTCAGGAACATGGGCAGCGTGGGCCTCCTGGGCCACACCCAACTGTCCTACCTGTGGACCAGTCGGTACACAAAGACAGGTGTTCAGGAACAGAGTATGCAACAAAGTTTTGACAACTTATGACAACTGTATCGGGTCAGGCAGTGATTCGAGATTCGATACGTGTTCAATACCAGTGTGTACAGGTACGTCTTAGGTTGACATGTACGGACGTGTACATACACATTTACCTCTACGACTGACTTTGTTTCACGTGTCAGTCATTTCATGATCTTTTCATGTTCGTGTGCTTGCAGCTTTGTGTTCGTTTGTATTTGTGTTACACGTCCTTACATTTTACCCACGTGTTGTACTTTTGATGTGTTTGTCTTAGCCAACGATGTAAACTGGTAACATCTTCTGTTGTTTTGTGTTAATACTTGTGTTCGTTGTTCTGTAGTGTTGTCATGTGAATGTTGTGTTTTAGCTTCCTGGAACAACTGGGGACAATGGAGTAATCCAGGTTGTCCTACATGTGGTCTCAGCATCACACGAACTGTCACTCGAACCAGAACATGTAACCAGGTAGCGGGTCAAGCATTTTGCTCTGGATCCAGCACTGACTCTGACATCAGAACTTGCAGCATTCCCAATTGCAGAGGTATGTTGACTTTGTTGTCAACTGTTTGCAACAAATATGTCAGTTACATTAATCAAATTGGAATGAACATTCACATATTCCTATATAAGGTTACACAAAAATGATCCATGGCTAAGTAAAGTGTCTTTCATTTCTTAACTCATACCAAAGTCCCGTGTCTCAAAAGTATTTAGAATGAAACACTATCCAAAAATTCCAATGACCATCTGCGTAAAATATGATATCATGTGAGTGTCATTTAACAATCTAAACTAAACTAAGACATTGATAGATTACAAATGGGAACAATTTCGAAGTGTGGATATTCTTTGGCTTAGGGACAGTTCGGTACTCATTCATGAAGTAGGTGCATACAAAATCCCACTACTTCTGGCAGTGATATAGTATTGTGTGCAGTTGATGACGACACAGAGGGTAACAAACGCTGGTTATTTCAGGAACGTGGGCAGCGTGGGCCTCCTGGGTCACGCCCAACTGTCCTACCTGTGGACCAGTCGGTACGCAAAGACAGGTGTTCAGGAACAGAGTATGCAACAAACTTTTGACAACTTATGACAACTGTATCGGGTCAGGCAGTGATTCCAGATTCGATACGTGTTCAATACCATTGTGTACAGGTACGTTTTACGATATGATACGAACAGAGCAATCTGGGTTAATCAAGGTACGATTGAAATTGCTTTACGAGTATGTAAGACATGCGCCCTATATGTTGATGTGCTTATGGTTGCGTGTTCATTTGTATTATAGTAATAAGACCAAAGGGAGCGATACTGGTTCCTCTCTTCCAGGGCCATTTTGTATTTGATGTTTTCGTCATGTTTTTTGTTTTGCGTTTTGTGTTGTGTAGTCTGGTCATGTGAATGTTGTGTTTTAGCTTCCTGGAACAACTGGGGACAATGGAGTAATCCAGGTTGTCCCACATGTGGTCTCAGCATCACACGAACTGTCACTCGAACCAGAACATGTAACCAGGTAGCGGGTCAAGCATTTTGCTCTGGATCCAGCACTGACTCTGACATCAGAACTTGCAACATTCTCAATTGCAGAGGTATTTTGACTTGTTATGAATTGTTTTCAACAAATATAAAGTTAGTTGAATCGGGATGAACCTGCTCATGTTCCAATAATGAGCTATGCCCAGGGTGAAGTACGCCCTGGGTATATGTAACACATGTAGAAAAAGTGACCTTCATTCCTGAAACATATCACAGGTCTTAGGAAGGGTATGAAACTCCCAAAAATTTCAGCCAGACCACAGGACTGGCTAGCTGAAATACTTGCCAGCCCTGACCAAAACCTGCCTGCCCACTATAATCATATGTTTCTCGGGATAATTTAATTAAAAACATGAAAACTGATTGCTTGTAGCATAAGCGCATCGCTAAATGTTAGGTTGTCTAAAAGCTAACGGGGTTTCTTTTTGGTTACATTTTATCATTCATCTTTACATGTGAATCAATGCTTATCATCGGGAAATATTTAGAATATTTTCACCTATGAAATATAACCCGACCGTCGGGCAGGGGGATTTGAAAATCCCGGGCAGCCCGAGTTGAAATCAACCAGTCTCGGACGGTCGGGCAGGCAGGTATTTCGAACGCTGTCTTAGGCACACATCAAGTTAAACAAAATGGTAAATGAACATTTGTGGTGAATCTTCTTGAAGGGTGTAAACATTTTGTAGTCTATAAACATGTATGGTATAAACATTTTGTGGTGTATTGATATGCAGGGTATAAACATTTTGTGGTGCATTAATATGCAGGGTATAAACATTTTGTGGTGCATTAATATGCAGGGTATGAACATTTTGTCGTGTATAAATATGTATGGTGTGAATATAATGTGGTGTATAAATATGCAGGGTATGAACATTTCGATGTGTATAAATATTTATGGTATGAACATGTTGTGGTGTGTACGTTTATGTCAACATGTTGTGTACATGCTTTCAGTGTATGGACATATTGTGTAGCCGTTGTTGGTTATAGTGTGTAGTTGTTACGCTGACAGTGTATTAACAAGTTGTTGTTTATTCTGTGTCTGTGTTCCAACTGAAAGTCATAGCCACTTTCTATTTATTTGTCTGGCCTAGTGCCATGAGTCGCTCTAGACGAACTCGAACCGGATTTTAAAACAGGATACCCATTGTTCGCTATTGTTTTAATGATATATACATTCTTTGACGATTATTATTTAATAAGAACATATTCATAACAAGGACGAAGGAGTTGAAACATCCTACCTTGTTAGAGACATAAAACGGAAACATAACTTATCATTATTATGGCAGCATATGACGACACCAGTTTCGATTTATCGTACCTTATCATGCACCATACATGTGCTCTGTAACTTGTATCACTGAGAACATTACTTCCTTAAACCCCCGTGAAGATTCGGGTATGAATTGATGTTGCTTATGGTTAGACGCGACTGAAAGGAATGGGTTGTCAGGTTCGCTGACTTGCATAGATCGATGCTTCTTATGTCAATCACTTTTTTGTCTGGTGCAGACCTGACTATATACTGACCGCCGTGATACAGCTGGGATATTGCAGTTTTCAAGCTGATATAACGTAATACAACTAAACTGTTCCATATATTTCCATAGGAACCTGGTCTGCGTGGGCCTCATGGAATCAGCCCAGCTGCCCTTCCTGTGGACCTCCCAGTACCGTGAGACGGGTCAGCAGAACGCGATTGTGCAACAAAGACCTGTCAACGCATTCGAACTGTGCCGGAAATAACGTGGAGTACAGAAATGATGCCTGCAACATAGCAAATTGTACAGGTATAGCAACTGTCTCAGTATCCATGTGTACAAGTATTACTACTGTCTCCGTATCCATGTGTACAAGTAGTACTACTGTCTCCGTATCCACGTGTACAAGTATTACTACTGTCTCCGTATCCATGTGTACAAGTATTACTACTGTCTCGGTATCCATGTGTACAAGTATTACTACTGTCTCCGTATCCACGTGTACAAGTATTACTACTGTCTCCGTATCCACATGTACAAGTATTACTACTGCCTCAGTATCCACGTGTACAAGTATAACTACTGCCTCAGTATCCACGTGTACAAGTATTACTACTGTGTCCGTATCCACGTGTACAAGTATTACTACTGCCTCAGTATCCACGTGTACAAGTATTACTACTGTCTCCGTATCCACGTGTACAAGCATTACTACTGTCTTCGTATCCATGTGTACAAGTATTACTACTGTCTCGGTATCCATGTGTACAAGTATTACTACTGTCTCAGTATCCACGTGTACACGTATTACTACTGTCTCCGTGTCTACGTGTACAAGTATAACTACTGTCTCCGTATCCACGTGTACAAGTATTACTACTGCCTCAGTATCCACGTGTACAAGTATTACTACTGTCTCCCTATCAACGTGTACAAGTATTACTACTGCCTCAGTATCCACGTGTACAAGTATAACTACTGTCTCCGAATCAAATTTTATACACTTATTGTTTCTATTGTGCTAGGGGCTATGGATACATTATGCATTGATAGAATCAGTTTGTATTACTTGAGCACCTTGATTAAGTACATGAAAAGATTTGAAAAAATTATTTTCGAGGCTTGACGGTACACTTGCTTTGCAAATCCTGCAGTCGGGCGAAATCTTCACAGCAGTTTCATTGTTGTTTACGAACTGGATGTCGATTTCGTTACTATATGTTGATTTGACTATGCATATACTCGTTTGTCTGACCAAGATATAAATCCGAAATTCCAGTCTTGTTCGACCAGGGAGGAAACTGCACTTCTACTGTCAAGTATCTCCCTTGCCATAGATTTTGTGTCAGAGCAAGGGTTATCAAGATTCATTGCCAAAACAGCAGGTGGCGCTTAACTTTTTCTCAGGTGTATAAACAGCATCAAAAGGAACAACAAGAATTTTGAACGCGTATCATGTATTCATTCATTCAACAATATTTGCAGATGAACTGAACGATGTTTTCTTCTTTTACAGTTACCCCAGGTAAGACAGTTGTGTCACGTGATGACAGAGCCAATAGATGAGTATGGGTGCATTCAAAAATAGTTTAGAGTGGAGCGGTTTAGCAGCTACTTACATGAACACACTAATGGTTTTCTGGTCATAATATCACTGGATCATATATACTGGATCATATCTAAATCCTCATTTTCATCACCACTACATTAAATAATGTTCCTTGTCCAGCATTTACAAGAATACGGTTTCCTGCTCCGTTTACGCATATGTAGGCAAAGCTCAGTATTTATTCTGCTTTCATTGAATACCAGGTTTGTGCGCCAGCGTCATGAATGTCAGCGGCGTCGGTTACCGCTATCACCCCACCGACTGCGACAAGTATGTCCAGTGTTACTTCAACCCCAACGGTGAGGTATCGGCTGTGTACCGCACATGTCCATTTGGTCACTACTGGTCACAAGCGACCATGAGATGTGACCACTCGTGGAAGGTCACTTGTCCCCATGGTAAGTGTGCAAATGAACATTTATCACTGTTGAATCGCGAAATGTAACACTCAGTTTATAAGTAGGTTTGTCTGTCACGTATCACTTTTGAATCGTGCAATGTAACACTCAGTTTATAAGTAGGTTTCTCTGTCACGTATCACTGTTGAATCGGGCAATGTAACGCTCAGTTTATAAGTAGGCTTGTCTGTCACGTATCACTGTTGAATCGTGCAATGTAACACTCTGTTTATAAGTAGGTTTGTCTGTCATGTATCACTGTTGAATCGGGCAATGTAACACTCAGTTTATAAGTAGGCTTGTCCGTCACTTATCACTGTTGAATCGTGCAATGTAACATTCTGTTTACAAGTAGGTTTGTCTGTCACGTATCACTATTGAATCGCGCAATGTAACAAACAGTTAATAATTAGGTTTCTCTGTCACGTGTCATTATTGAATCTTGCAATGTCGCAATCACTCGAGAGTGATTTGAGCCAAGGATTGAACTAGGCCTCCTACACCAGGTCATTAACGTGTCTTTTAAATACTTTCAAAACACAGTTTATGTTTCAATCAAACGATCCACATGCATAATCAAAGAAAACGACGTTGAATTCGTGTTGTTAGTTTTAGTTGTATGACTTTCAATGGTTAAATGTTAAATGTCGACTTTTAAAATGAAGTCAATGGATATTTTTTTTAAACTCTGTAGTACAGAGAGTAACATGCGCATGAAAAATATCCAAGTTCAGCAATAATTACCCATACGATATCCTTGCTTTAAATTTGAGAAAGATCTACTAGGGTCGACGCACTAAGATCGTTTTGCGGACAAACACTCCTTCGCCTTGTGTTTACTGGTCACGCCGGAGACCCGGACTCGATTCCCCGCATGGCTACAATGTGTGAAGCCCATTTCTGGTGTCCTCTACCGTGGTTTTTGCTGGAATGTTGATAAAAGCGTTGTAAAACTATCGTAACTGACTTTTGTTAATATGATGAATTTTCTGATGCACAGAGAGAAACAGTAACTATACTCTTTTAAGTGTCCCTTATTTCATCAGTTTATGATGTATATGTGTTGATGTATTACCAGAGAAGTGCAACAACACTTGCGTAACAACATACAACATGGAGGGCAGCTGTCGCGCCTACTGGTCATGTGACCATGGAAGGTCACAGGCCGAGTGTTGCGCTGTGGGCTTCCGGTACGTTGCAGGACGAGGCTGCTTCCCGGATCTATACTGTCGTGATGCTTGTCCCACACCTTGCACATCTGCTGGTAGGTGTTACATGATCCGATGGGAGGTAATAATGTGGAAATATCTCCCTTTACATTAAGATACTAGCTTTTGATTGGTTAAGGAGCGGGCAAATATTGTCCATGTACCCAGCTCATGGACACCGCTGATAAAACAATCGTAACACACCAGAGCTAACTTGCTTATGTCGAGCAAGTATCGTTCAGCTGAAATGAACAGATGTTTATACGGATGCATTGGGTAAAGGGAAGTAACTTGGTTGTCTGCTAGCTGTCAAAATGGCTGAATCAAAGCGTTTTACAAAGCGACATTACCTGTATGAATGTCGGGGAGACAATCCCTCGGAACGTATGGTGTGATGTAGCTGTGTGTGAGTCTATGTGCACATCGCCCGACGACCCAGGGTACAAAGGCCATAGATGTAATGCACCAACCAATACATCTCTCTCTCCCTCTCTCTGTGCTGCTTTCAGAGCACGTTGCATCCTGTGTACCCATTGTCTATGATGTGTCATCAATCAACTCGCTGCCATGGTTATATTTCAGATATATGCGACAAAGCCCCTGGTTGGGATAAGCCTGAGAACTACAAACTGAATGTGGGTTTTCTTGGATGGATGGACAGCGGCTGCATCCCCGGCTCCTACTTCGACATCCTCGAGTGCGGCTGCAACGTGCGCAAGAATGACAGTAAGACATCCTCTCTTTATGTTTACTGCCCATTTACTCTGATATACGTGTATTCGTGTATACGTGTAACAGCCAAGTTAATACTAAATAGTATATTGATGATAATACAATTACTACAGTATTACTTCTACGACAACAACAACAACAACAACAACTACCACCACTTCTGTTGATATTCTGCTGAAGCAAAGAACAAACAAGTTCCTTCTATATTTTACATTCTGTTACCGTTCTCTGTATATTAAGTTACCGTTCTCTATAAATTATGTCACTGCTCTCTACATTCTGTTATCGTTCTCTATAAATTCTGTCACTACTCTCTACATTCTTTAACCGGTCTCTACATGCTGTTGCCGTTCTCTATAATTTTTCTGTCACTGCTCTCTACATTCTGTTATCGTTCTCTATAATTTCTGTCACTGATCTCTACATTCTGTCTTATAAATTCTGCCACTGCTCTCTACATTCTGTTACCGTTCTCTATAATTTTTCTGTCACTGCTCTCTACATTCTGTTACCGTTCTCTATAAATTATCTCACTGCTCTCTACATTCTGTTACCGTTCTATAATTCTGTTATTGTTCTCTATAAATTCTGTCACTGCTCTCTACATTCTGTTACCGTTCTCTATTATTTTTCTGTCACTGCTCTCTACATTCTGTTACCGTTCTCTACATTGTGTTATCGTTTTCTATAAATACTGTCTTTGCTCTCTACATTCTGTTACCGTTCTCTATAATTTTTCTGTCACTGATTTCTACATTCTGTTACCGTTCTCTATAAATCATCTCACTGCTCTCTACATTCTGTTACCGTTCTCTATAATTTTTCTGTCACTGCTCTCTACATACTGTTACCGTTCTCTATAAATTCTGTCACTGCTCTCTACATTCTGTTACTGTTCTCTTTAATTTTTCTGTCACTGCTCTCTACATTCTGTGGCCGTTCTCTACATTCCGTTACCGTTCTCTACATTCTGTTACCATTCTCTATAAATTCTGTCACTGCTCTCTACATTCTGTTACCGTTCTCTATAAATTCTGTCACTGCTCTCTGCATTCTGTTACCGTTCTCTTTAAATTCTGTCACGGCTCTCCACACCTTCTGTTACCGTTCTATAATTCTGTTATTGTTCTGTATAAATTCTAACACTGTTCTCTACATTCCATTACTGTTCTCACAACATTCCGTTATAGTTCTCTCTACATTCTGTTACCATTCTCTCAAGATTATGTTACCATTATCTCTACATTATGTTACCGTTTACTCTACATTCTGTTACCGTTCTCTCTACATTCTGTTACCATTATCTCTACATTCTGTTACCATTAACTCTAAATTCTGTTACCATTCTATCTATATTATGTTACCATTATTTCAACGTTCTGTTACCATTCTCTCAAGATTATGTTACCATTATCTCTACATTATGTTACCATTATTTCTACATTATGTTACCATTCTCTCAAGATTATGTTACCATTCTCTCTACATTATGTTACCGTTAACTCTACATTCTGTGACCATTCTCTCAAGATTATGTTACCATTATTTCTACATTTTGTTACCATTCTCTCAAGATTATGTTACCATTATCTCTACATTATGTAACCATTAACTCTACGTGCTGTTACCGTTCTCTCTACATTATGTAACCGTTAACTCTACATGCTGTTACCGTTCTCTCTACATTATGTTACCATTATCTCTACATTATGTAACCGTTAACTCTACATGCTGTTACCGTTCTCTCTACATTATGTAACCGTTAACTCTACATGCTGTTACCGTTCTCTCTACATTATGTTACCATTATCTCTACATTATGTAACCGTTAACTCTACATGCTGTTACCATTATCTCTACATTATGTAACCGTTAACTCTACATGCTGTTACCGTTCTCTCTACATTATGTAACCGTTAACTCTACATGCTGTTACCGTTCTCTCTACATTATGTTACCATTATCTCTACATTATGTTACCATTATTTCTACATTCTGTTACCATTCTCTCAGGATTATGTTACCACAATCTCTACATTATGTTATCATTATTTCTACATTCTGTTACCATTCTCTCAAGATTATGTTATCATTATCTCTACATTATGTAACCGTTAACTCTACATGCTGTTACCGTTCTCTCTACATTCTGTTACCATTATTTCTACATTTTGATACCACTCATTCTACATTCTGTTACATTATGTCTTCATTCCCTGCACATCCTGTTACTGTTCTCTCTACATTCTGTTAACGTTCTCTCTATATTCTGTATTGTTCTCTCTACGTTCTGTTACCGTTGTCTCCTGATTCTGATAGCATACTCTCTACATTCTGTTAACGTTCTCTCTATATTCTGTATTGTTCTCTCTACGTTCTGTTACCATTGTCTCTAGATTCTGATAGCATACTCTGTACATTCTGTTAACGTTCTCTCTATATTCTGTATTGTTCTCTCTACGTTCTGATACCGTTGTCTCTAGATTCTGATAGCATACTCTCTACATTCTGTTAACGTTCTCTCTATATTCTGTATTGTTCTCTCTACGTTCTGTTACCGTTGTCTCTAGATTCTGATAGCATACTCTCTACATTCTGTTAACGTTCTCTCTATATTCTGTATTGTTCTCTCTGCAGTCTGTTACCGTTGTCTCTAGATTCTGATAGCATACTCTCTACATTCTGTCAACGTTCTCTCTATATTCTGTATTGTTCTCTCTGCAGTCTGTTACCTTTGTCTCTAGATTCTGATAGCATACTCTCTACATTCTGTTAACGTTCTCTCTATATTCTGTATTGTTCTCTCTGCAGTCTGTTACCGTTCTATATAAAATATTTCACTGCTCTCCACACCTTCTTTGAAAGTTCTCTACTTTCTGTTACTGTTGTCTCTACATTCTGTTACCGTTTTCTCTACTTTCTGTTACTGTTCTGTCTCTACATTCTGTTACCATACTCTCTACATTCTGTTACTGTTCTCTCTCTACATTCTGTTACCATACTCTCTACATTCTGTTACCATACACTCTACATTCTGTTACTGTTCTCTCTCTACATTCTGTTACTGTTCTCTCTGCATTCTGTTACCGTTTTCTCTACATTCTGTTACCGTTCTATAATTCTGTTACCGTTCTCTTTAAATTCTGTCACTGCTCTCTACATTCTTTTATCGCTCTCTATAAATTCTGTTATTGCTCTCTACATTCTGATAGTGTTCTCTCTACATTCTGTTACCGTTCCCTACATTCTGTTACCCTTCTCTATAAATTGTGTCGATTCATTCTTCATCCTGTTACGGTTCTCTACATTCTGTCACCGTTCTCTATAAATTCTGTCACTGCTCTCTACATTCTGTCACCGTTCTCTATAAATTCTGTCACTGCTCTCTACATTCTGTTATCGTTCTCTACACTCTTTTACCACTCTTTTTAAATCTTGCCAACGCTCTCTATATTCTATTACCGTTCTCTATATTCTGTTACCGTTCTCTAAGACTTCTGTCATTGTTCTCTACATTCTGTTATCATTCTCTACATTCTGTTATCATTCTCTCTACATTCTGTTACCGTTCTCTTTAAATTCCGTCACTGCTCTCTACTTTCTGTTACCGTTCTTTATCAATTCTGTCACAGCTCTCTACATTCTGTTACCGTTCTCTACATTCTGTTACCGTTCTCTACATACTGTTACCGTTCTCAATAAATTCTGTTATCGTTCTCTCTACATTCCCTTACTGTTCTCTCTACATTCTGTTACCATTCTCTACATTCTGTTACCGTTCTCTATTAATTCTGTCACTGCTCTCTACACCTTCTGTTACCGCTCTCTACTTATGGTGTTATCTGTCGGTACCCCTTCTGTTCGGGTCTCTGTAAATGCTGTAAATGTCTGTTATCTGTCGTTACCCCTTCTGTTCGGGTCTCTGTAAATGCTGTAAATGTCTGTTATCTGTCGGTACCCCTTCTGTTCGGGTCTCTGTAAATGCTGTAAATGTCTGTCATCTGTCGGTACCCCTTCTGTTCGGGTCTCTGTAAATGCTGTAAGTGTCTGTTATCTTTCCGGACCCCTTCTGTTCGTGTGTCTGCACATCCTGTAAATGTCTGTCATCTGTCCCTATGTGCAGCTTGCAACCCAGAGTTTTCGCTGACCTTCAACAACCAGAACGCCATTGCTGCTGCTAAAGGAGACTGGCTGACGCTTGACACAGTGAATATCACAAATGGTGTTGCGGCATTTACCGGGCTAGGCAAACTGGTGGCCGACGTGAAGCTGCCGGACGCCGGTGTTGGATGTCCAGTTGTGCTCCGGTTCAGGTACAGAGAAAACGGAAGTGGAGGGAGACAGGTGCTTGCTAGCAGCAGCGACTGTCGACACGGCAACACCATGATCATCGCCATCCACAACAACACCCTGGTCTTCGAGCTGACGTCGTGGTACGGCACACTGCTCAGTATGCCTATTTCTACGATGGTACGTACTACTGACAACAGAAGAGTATCATTTGGTTTGGGATTTAACAGTACAATTTAAACACGGTGGTCATACTAACATCAAACTGTGACGATGTTTGCAACACCTCATTATGACATCCCGCCATGACATTATCTTACTTTACAACTGTACCACGGCATAATGACATCCCATGGTGCCATAATCTTACTATACAACTATACCACGGCATAATGACATCCCGTGGTGACATTGTCTTACTATACAACTGTACAACGGCATAATGACATCCCATGGTGCCATATCCTTACTATACAACTGTACAACGGCATAATGACATCCCGTGGTGACATTGTCTTACTATACCACTGTACAACGGCATAATGACATCCCGTGGTGAAGTTGTCTTACTATACAACTATACCACGGCATAATGACATCCCATGGTGCCATAATCTTACTATACAACTGTACCACGGCATAATGACATCCCATGGTGCCATAATCTTACTATACCACTGTACAACGGCATAATGACATCCCATGGTGCCATAATCTTACTATACAACTGTACAACGGCATAATGACATCCCATGGTGCCATAATCTTACTATACAACTGTACCACGGCATAATGACATCCCATGGTGACATTATCTTACTATACCACTGTACCACGGCATAATGGCATCCCGTGGTGAAGTTGTCTTACTATACAACTATACCACGGCATAATGACATCCCATGGTGCCATAATCTTACTATACAACTGTACCACGGCATAATGACATCCCATGGTGCCATAATCTTACTATACCACTGTACAACGGCATAATGACATCCCATGGTGCCATAATCTTACTATACAACTGTACAACGGCATAATGACATCCCATGGTGCCATAATCTTACTATACAACTGTACCACGGCATAATGACATCCCGTGGTGACATTGTCTTACTATACCACTGTACAACGGCATAATGACATCCCGTGGTGACATTGTCTTACTATACCACTGTACAACGGCATAATGACATCCCATGGTGCCATAATCTTACTATACAACTGTACAACGGCATAATGACATCCCATGGTGCCATAATCTTACTATACAACTGTACCACGGCATAATGACATCCCATGGTGACATTGTCTTACTATACCACTGTACCACGGCATAATGACATCCCGTGGTGAAGTTGTCTTACTATACAACTATACCACGGCATAATGACATCCCATGGTGCCATAATCTTACTATACAACTGTACCACGGCATAATGACATCCCATGGTGCCATAATCTTACTATACAACTGTACCACGGCATAATGACATCCCGTGGTGACATTGTCTTACTATACCACTGTACCACGGCATAATGACATCCCGTGGTGACATTGTCTTACTATACCACTGTACCACGGCATAATGACATCCCGTGGTGACATTGTCTTACTATACAACTGTAAAACGTCATAATGACATCCTGCCTCGACAGTGTCTAACTATACAACTGTAACACGTTAGTCATAATGACATCCAATCTCGACAGTATTTGACTATACAACTGTAACACGTTAGTCATAATGAAATCCCATCTCGGCAGTGTTTGACTATACAACTGTAACACGTTAGTCATAATGAAATCCCACCTCGACAGTGTTTGACTATACAACTGTAACACGTAAGCCATGATGACATCGCGCCTTGACAGTGTCTTACCATACAACTGTAACACGTTAGTCATAATGAAATCCCACCTCGACAGTGTTTGACTATACAACTGTAACACGTTAGTCATCATGACATCCCACCTCGGCAGTGTTTGACTATACAACTGTAACATGTAAGTCATAATGACATCCCACCTCGGCAGTGTTTCGTTTGTTATTGCCTTGAAGCTAACACTCACTGGTTTGACTACAAAGGCTCGCTCACGTTCATATCTCTATCATGACTTGAATATTGCTCCTTGTGTCGCTTTTCATAGATAAGGTTCCTCCAGAATCATATGGTTCGTTAATTGCTGTAGAGTTTGGCTGAATTATACGATTCTGGTGATATTGACGTGTGTTGCTAAAACTTCAGGGTCTAGCTCCGTCGCAGTGGAAGGACGTCACCTTCATGTATAACGGCAAGGTCTTGACAGGGGTCATCCAGCAGGACAACTACAAGGTCATGGGCCAGCTGTTTGGTAAGTGGAACAGATGCAACTGTTTGTAAGTGGATCCGATGCAGCTGGTTGTAAGTGGATCAGATGCAGCTGGTAGTAAGTGGATCAGATACAGCTGTTTGGTAAGTGGATCATATGCAGCTGTTTGTAAGTGGATCATATGCAGCTGTTTGTAAGTGGATCATATGCAGCTGTTTGTAAGTGGATCATATACAGTTGCTTGTAAATGGAACAGATGCAGCTGGTTGTAAGTGGATCAGATACAGCTGTTTGTAAGTGGGTCGGACGTTGTCTTGATGCAGCTGTTTTAGCACGGACATAAGATTACATCTGCACTTTTTATATCAGCAAAAGCACCACCACATGTGGTTCCATGTATGTCAGGAGAATCAGTCATACCGACCTATGCATAGAATCAACACCTAGATTATGTTGTTTGATGAATAATGTATGCTTTAATTAGATTCTACATACCTAAACAAGGGGAGTTAATATGTTTTAGTTGTTTTTATGACAACCCTACAAAGTCGTTAAATCAGACGGTGCTGTTAAAACAGCATGCACATTTCCCGTTGAACACAATATTGTCACGGATCATGACCTTTGTATATACGTCAGTCTTCGATGTTGGGACACGATGTACAACAGTTGCCATTATAAAGGGAAAGTCCTTGTAACCGATCTTCTGGATTCCAAGGGTTTCACTGTCGTTGTTTTATTAAAACATAATCCTCATTGTTTTCTGCAGCGCCCAAGGTGGACTTAGTGGCGTGTGGCTTGACCTTCGGATCTGATGGGTCAGTGCTTACAGCGTTCGATGGTCAGCTGGATGAGGTAGGTAGCCACAGGGACGACATCGCTACGTCAGCTGTACATCTGCATGCACCTTAGCTTCAGCTGAGAAAATTACGCCTTGGCCCACTTGCGCAAAGCGATCGTATCGCTACAACTATTCTAGGTATTTCTAGTGAAGCAAGTTGATTTGTTATAGTGTTAATATCGATCTGTACAAGTGGGCCATGGTCAATAATGTTCAGAAGTGCTCTACTGTCAAGTCATTTTCAACTTATGATGGAGACCATATTCACTCTTGAAATTATAATAAGTTATATATCAAATTAACTGTTACGTCAGCCTACAAAATGCCTAAAGGGTCGGTTGGGTAGCATAGTGGTTAAAGCGTTGACTCGGGTTCGATTCCCCACATGGGTACAATGTGTGAAGCCCATTTCCGGTGTCCCCCGCCGTGATATTGCTGGAATATTGCTAAAAACGACGTAAAACCATGCTCACTCACTCACTCACCCATAATGCCGAAGGGATTAATACGCAATAGCCATTGCCTAACCCTGGGGAGGGACTTACCCATTTGACTTACATCTGAAATATGCATACTTTTGTTCAGCGAAGATACTACATGAGTCGTTAACAAATGGGACTTCTGTAAATGAGTTTGATGATAATTTCACCCCTATGTCAATTCAGCCGAGTTGAAGCAGCATGGGTCGCGAAGAATATGTTTTGGGGTTCCCGGTACAATGAATGAGATAATCATGTGTCTGTACAATGACATGAGATAATCATGTGTATGTACAATGACATGAGATAATCATGTGTCTGTACAATGACATGAGATAATCATGTGTCTGTACAATGACATGAGATAATCATGTGTCTGTACAATGAATGAGATAATCATGTGTCTGTACAATGAATGAGATAACCATGTGTCTGTTAAGCTTCTAGCGCCTCATAAGTATACTCCCCAGGGAGATCAGAATTAAATTAGAGTGCAAACTGATCCATTGAACGGGTAAATGATGCAGATAATAACTTATCTAAAATATTCGTCAACAATACATTGATCATTTGTAAATTTAATGGAATCGCATCACAGAGGTTAAGGTAACCGATAACATTAACAGCGATCTACCTACATCAAACTCCCACTAGAATGAAAATATCAGGTACTGGCAGAACAGGCCCTGCCTACCCTTTACGCGAACACCTGGTGTCATCACTGATTTTCACATCTTCCCGAGGCAAGGGAGTTAACTGACTATAAGAGTCCAGTTTCCACCCTTGCCAAACTAGGCTGGAATTTCCAGGCTCGATCGTAGCGCCACCAGTGGCTATTACGAGTTATGTCCCTTCTATGTTCCTCCTATCAACCAATCAGATTCCATCTCTCATATCACAAACGGGCGGCGCCCAGTCAAGACGATCTGCTCGATTAACAAGATCTATCCTACAAGGGGTCTTACCCCGCGAAGTGCATCAAATCGAGTGAGCACCTTGATTAAAAGCATGAAAGAATTTACAAAATATCTGTCGACGCCAAGTTGGCGCTACACATGCTTCGCAAATCCTGCAGTCGACCGAAATCTGCACGTTGAAATTCCTGTTGTTAACGAACCGCATGTCTCGTTCGTTACGCGATTTTGATTGGACTAAGCACAGACTCGTTAGCCCAGCCAAATTGTAACTCCATAATTCCAGCCTAGTTCGGCAAGGGTGGAAACTGGACTTTATAGTCAGTTAACTCCCTTACCTCGGGAAGATGTGATTTTCAGTGACTGATGCCATGTTTAGTTTACCTTTTACGCTCTGTGCAATGTGTTTCCGTGGATGTTCGGGACCAATTAATCCATGACGTTGGCGTTTAGAACTAAATAGCTTCATGAGATAATAAATCGAGTCATTGAGTTAATAAATCATGTTGAACATTGACTCTCTTTTTCAGATCAACTTGTACAAGTGTGACCCTGGCAACCTGTATTGAAGGAACCACTGAGCTTGTCCTGTTCACACAAGCTTAGAACACGTGTACAGTTCACACGTGCTTTCAACAAGGAAAACTATAGTCAGTGATTACAGCCGGGAGTCAATATTCTAGTGAACTCTCTACTAGTGCCATATTGTAAACTGCATCGATATGCTAAGTGTGATGTTTCATTGTTTTGTTTTTAACATTTTCGTGTTTAGTCCTGCCAACGTATTATATTTTAGATAACTGCATCTTTATCCTAGCGTGTACATGAAATATATATTGCCGGTGTATCACTGAAATTATCGCACCTATAAGATTTAACCATCTGGTACAAGTGATGATATTGTATTTGAGTCTTGGCTAGACCCTTGCCACAATTAGTTAGCTAACTTCCTGACAAGTACATTATTTCCATGCCAATAAGATTACATCTCGCATTTGAAAGTCAACCTCACCCGAACCAGATGCAGTTCACAAAAGGAACCAATGTTTTTGTTGATATGCAAAATATATACGGTATGTTTTACAGTACGTTAATGCATTTCTGTTAAATTATTACCAGTTTGTTATATGAATATTGATATATTTTTACATTTCACCGACAACTCCCAACGTCACAGCTGTATTGAGTATAAAGACCCCAAACCACTCATGATCTCACTGTCTTCACCAATTGAAAGAAACACTGTGTCTTACTTGAGATTTTGTTCATTTTACCATTTTGGGAAAAGAAATGTAAAATTAATCTGTTATTACCATGTATATTTATACTTTTTATTTAATATTGATATTGTACTACTTTCAATGTTTGGACATTACTAATGCATAATAAATACTTCCGCACAGTTTCCTGGGTCGTGTTTACATTTGTTGAAAAAATGTTGCAAATAGTATAACGCTGAGGGTAGATCAGGGCATGCTTGGCCTTCCCTGTAACACCTAGTGTCAGTACTGACTTTCAATGATCTGTTCATATAAATGTTACAACTATGATATCGTTTTCGCCCAGAACTGGGTCGATGTTTCTGCTGGCGGGCTGAAGTCCCGAGTTTCGTCTTAAGCTCAGAGGCACGGGTGGCCCAGTCGTCTAAGGCGCCGCGATTCGCTGTGCAGAGTTGCGTCCCTTGGGCACGCCAGAAACCTATGATTGTGGGTTCAAATCCCGGTTCTCCCCGATTATGTTTCTAGCTTTATCAGCACCATACCCGTCCTCATGGGTTTCACCGAAGTGGTACACGTCTGAGACCTGCATCACTTCGGGCTTTCATCCCATATTAAGCTGACACGCCGCGATATGACTGGAATTCTGTTAAAAGCGGCGTTAAACCCAACTCACTCACTATTAATTATGTTGAGTAAACTACAAAAGAAATGTTAGGGCCGAGACATTAAACCTGCCCCCGACATACCCACTGTGTTGAAAACCCCCAACATGTTTCTTAAATGTTTTTGTTGACTTACGAGCAGCAGAATTTCTGCACTTGAACACGGCAAGTGTAATTAAAAAATCAAGATTTTGTTTTTCGTTTCGACAAACTCAGTAAACGCCGTATCGTGTCAGTTCATTTTCTGATCCATCACTGGATTGTTGGGTCAAGATTCGATTGTGTTCACCGTTGTTTGTGTCAGTGGGTGATGCTACAGTTAGGGCAGCACATGCTTGCCGTGGTCGAGAACATCTGGTGTTATCACTGATTTCCCATCTTCCCGAGGCAAGGGCGTTAACTGACTACAAAAGTCCAGTTTCCACCCTTGCCGAACTAGGCTGGGATTTCCAGTCTCGATCGTGGCTCCACCACTGGCTATTACGAGTTATGTTCTGTCCCTCCAACTGACCAATCAGATTCCACATCTCGTATCTGGGGCATTTGCTTCAAGCATAATGGTCGATAATCGATCAACATGGTAATACCTCACGATGCGCATGAAATCACTTGAGCACCTTGAGTAAAAAGATGAAAAGATTTGCAAAATATATGTCGACGCCCAGTTGACGGACCACTTGCTTTGCAAATCCTGTTGTCGACCGAAACCTGCACGTTGGAATCCATGTTGTTTGCGAGCCAGTTATCTATTCCGATACTCGATTTGATTGGACTATGCATAGACACGTTAGTCATGCCAAAATGTAACTCCGGAATGGAAGGGTGGAATCTGGACTGTCATAGTAAGTTAACGCCCTTGCCGCGATAACGTGTGATTTTCAGTCATCCGTTCATTTTATGTTCACTATGTTCTATTTTGCTTTTACGCCCAATGCAAGCTGATATCCATTGTCCACTGATATCTCTCACTACATCACTTTTCCAAGCTTGCCACAACGATATTGTGTACTTCTTGGAAACATTTGAGTGAAATTTTACGAAGCTTTAGACGATAATCCGCAATGCCTCGGTAAACTTGGTGTAAGGATACCATTCAAGGTCCTCCTATGAAGAAACGAACCTCCGTAACGAGCGATGCTTTAACCACAAGACTACATCGCTGTTCAGCCGTTTGACAGAGTTATCATCAGGTGAATGTAGAGGGTACAATGGGTGCAGTTTACATGTTACGGGAGTAACAGGTGTGATGGCCACAGTGTTTGTAGCGGTTGTAACGGGTGTGACGACAACAGTGTATGTAACGGGTGTGACGACAGCAGTGTATGTAACGGGAAGTGATGACCAGTGTTTGTAAGGGGTGTACGATTCTAACTATAAGGTAAAGCTGTATGGTTGGACACGTTTTTCGCAAACACCTGATGTCATCATTGATTTTCGGTTCTTATAATATTCACCGTTTTTTTTCCTTTTACACATAATGTAATATGTTTCGGTGAATAATCGAGATTAGTTATTCTCTATTGATGGTGTTTCATTTATATTTTTTATTTGAAGTTTACACGATATACAGCTTTTCCATTGGACTCATTTTGACGTTCATCCGTTTTTCACGAGACCGTGTTCTTGAAATGACGTAAACACTGACGGACTAGGGGGGGTACCCCAAGCACGAATACATACGAAAGCGTTCTTTCTGAACATTTAGACACCTTGATCTTTAACTCAGCATTTCAGTATACACCACACCAGAGAGTTTGACTGCATGGCTGTTCACGAATATCCTCGCTACGACCCATCCCAATGAACAAAACGAAGAAATGCACGTTCAAACTATTATAGTATCGACTCGATCCGCGATACAGTTGGTTGTTGTATGGCTGTCAGTGTAAACATGAAGTCACACGTACTAAACATAACTGTGTATAGATGAAGGTCTACGCCCTTTGGGGTAAAAATAGTGATATAAAGCTCCGACGTTCATACAGTTTGGCCCTCAGTATATGAAGGTTCATACTCCAATGAACTCACACAAAGTGAAAGTCAATTCTTATTTGACCCACATATACCCAAGTTACATAATTCGATGTATATTTCACTATTTGCAAATTTTACGTCGGAATTTTAAAAATTTATATAATTAGAATAATACAGTGTATTTACCAAAGTAGCCAACGTAGTGGATTAATTACATACTCTTTCCTGCATGTTATGCCCTTGAAATAATTGCATGAGTATGCGGTCACTATACTGACACTAAAGTTTAGCCCTATAAAGTATAACATAATGACAATAAAAGACAGGTATTTGTAAGCATGCCGGTTCATAAGTAGGCCTGTTTATTGCACACGCAGGCTGAAGGCACCCACGGGCTGTTTGTTTGTTTGTTGTTTGAGGCCACAGTCATCAATCGGGACCAGACAATCAAGTAATTGACATTATGAGCAACGTTCTACGCAATTGGGATACGATGACATGCATCAACCAAGTCAGCGAGCCTGACAACCCGATCACATTTGTCGCCTCTTACAACAAGCAAGGGTTGCTTAAGGCCAATTCTAACAGCGTTAAATTAACGCAGTCAAAGAAACTTCAAGATCAGATTCACTTTGGGTACACTGAAACATTTAGCAGTTAGTCTTCTACTGTAGATCGGTTATCCATTAGTTGCGTTTTAAAATTATAACACCAATTGAATTAAAGATTTTATAAATATGGTAGCATAAATATAATTTACATATGTATTAACAAGCAACACCATCCATCAATCGCATTCACACTCTACGTAAAAATGAAAATATTTAAAAAGGACATAAATGAAAATATTCTGTATGCAGTTCTACAATGACAACAAATTCTATATATAGCAAGTATATAAAAATCCACATACGACATTGATCCAATATTTTTCCGACAGACAGACATTATTCATGTCTAACATTAACATGGGGAATAAGGTGTGTAACACGTCTCGGAAGGCAGCAAATATATAGCGTCCTGTCCAGGATAGACAGAAGGAAAAACAGAAGGGTATTGTTGGTCATAGTTACATCCTGTAATACGTGTTTCAATTGGTCAGAGGCACATCTGGTTTCACGTGTTTCCATTGGTCAGATGAACATTCTGTGTCACGTGCTTCCATTGGCCACAGGAACATCCTGTATAACGTGTTTCCATTGGTCAGAAGAACATAGTATTACGTGTTTCCATTGGTCACAGGAACATCCTGTATAACGTTTAGTTTCCATAAGTCAGAGACACTTTCTGTATCACGTGTTCCGTTGGTTAGAGGCAGATCCTTTAGGGCGTGTTCCATTGGTTAGAGGCAGATCCTGTATCACGTGTTCCGTTGGTCAGAGACACTTTCTGTATCACGTGTTCCGTTGGTTAGAGGCAGATCCTGTATCACGTGTTCCGTTGGTCAGAGACACTTTCTGTATCACGTGTTCCGTTGGTTAGAGGCAGATCCTGTATCACGTGTTCCATTGGTTAGAGGCAGATCCTGTATCACGTGTTTCGTTGGTTAGAGGCAGATCCTGTATCACGTGTTCCGTTGGTTGGAGGCATAACCTGTATTAGAGCCACATTCTATTCCACCCTGTATTAGAGACACGTTCCTTTCCAGTAGTCAAATGCATATCCTGAATCACGTGTATTACGTGTTTCTATTTTGTCACAGACACACGTACTTTTACGAATTTCAGTGGACCATTCACATAATTTTCACAACTATTTTGTCCTTTGTGCCAAATGCAATTTGTTTCGGCGGATGATCAAGATTATCTTGCTTTGATATATTTAACGTGCGGCCTGTGACTGTACAATCTAAATAATGGCTGCGTTGTCTGTGTCCAACTTGTGACCAACACAAACAATCACACATATGACCAGGTTGTAACTAATGTGACCAACTAGTGACCCATTTGACATGTGACAAGAGTGACATGTGACACCCGCAGGGTTTTACAGGACAATAGCAAAATGATAATGAACACAAACAATATGTACCGAAATATTGATGTATTAATCTTAAAAATGCATGTAGCTGTAACCTGTCGTTACATTCAACTGATATTTCTCATAAATAATATCGTAGCACACACTGTCCTTATCCCACTGTCTTTACTCATTTACCAACTTTGGTGGGAAAGTAAATAGGTCAGGCAGCGTCCGACCTCACGTGATGTACATACACCCTTTGCCAGCTTGCATCTGCTTCTCCTTGTAAAGTGTGTCAGTGAGACTCCTATGATATGTGATAAGCAATGACCAGCAGGTAACATATTCAGAACATATTCACTGAAGAAGCAAATGATTTTAATTCGTTGTCTATAGTCCTCGTCAAGGAACCCTATATGTGCTGCATACGATGTCACCTCATGATCTCACTGCGCCATTGAAACTGGGGTCCATATATTTCCCTCTGGGAACATAGTCTGGCTGGCTTCGGGAAATACTCTCAAGTTCAAAAGAATTCATCTTATCTGCCTCGTGATGGGTTTTGGCACTGAAACGAGAGTTACGAAGTTCAAACCAAAGGTTACAATGTGAGAAAACATGTTGCCATAATGTGATATAGCAATTGTAACAATGTGAGTAAACATGTTGCCACAGTGGGAGATATACACAATGGGAGATAACACATTGCCATAATGTGAGATGCCAATTGCCACAGTTTGAGATAACACGTTGCAACAATGGGAGATAACACGTTGCCACAATGGGAGATAACACGTTGCAATAATGGGAGATAACACGTTGCCACAATGGGAGCTAACACGTTGCCACAATGGGAGCTAACACGCTGCCACAATGGGATATAACACGTTGCCACAATGGGATATAACACGTCGCCACAATGGGAGATAACACGTTGCCACAATGGGAGATAACACGCTGCCACAATAGGATATAACACGTTGCAACAATGGGAGATAACACGCTGCCACAATTGGAGATAACACGCTGCCACAATGGGAGATAACACGTTGCCTCAATTGGAGATAACACGTTGCCACAATGGGAGATAACACGCTGCCAGAATGGGATATAACACGTTGCCACAATGGGAGATAAAACGTTGCAACAATGGGAGATAACACGCTGCCACAATGGGAGATAACACGTTGCAACAATGGAAGATAACACGTTGCCACAATGGGAGCTAACACGTTGCCACAATGGGATATAACACGTTGCCACAATGGGAGATAACACGTTGCCACAATGGGAGATAACACGCTGCCACAATAGGATATAACACGTTGCAACAATGGGAGATAACACGCTGCCACAATTGGAGATAACACGCTGCCACAATGGGAGATAACACGTTGCCTCAATTGGAGATAACACGTTGCCACAATGGGAGATAACACGCTGCCAGAATGGGATATAACACGTTGCCACAATGGGAGATAAAACGTTGCAACAATGGGAGATAACACGCTGCCACAATGGGAGATAACACGTTGCAACAATGGAAGATAACACGTTGCCACAATGGGATATAACACGCTGCCACAATGGGAGATAACACGTTGCAACAATGGGAGATAACACGTTGCCACAATGGGAGATAACACGTTGCCACAATAGGAGATACCACGTTGCAACAATGGGAGATAACACGCTGCAACAATAGGAGATAACACGTTGCAACAATGGAAGATAACACGTTGCCACAATGGGATATAACACGCTGCCACAATGGGAGATAACACGCTGCCACAATGGGAGATAACACGCTGCCACAATGGGAGATAACACGCTGCCACAATGGGATATAACACGTTGCAACAATGGGATATAACACGTTGCAACAATGGGATATAACACGCTGCCACAATGGGATATAACACGTTGCTTCAATGGGAGATAACACGTTGCCACAATGGGAGATAACACGTTGCAACAATAGGGTATACCATTTGGCACAATGGGAGCAAAAGACGTTGCCACAATGGGAGATAATACATAGAGATACAGCTGTTTAAGAAAGACACACATGATCACGTTCTGTATTCCTGCAAAAACACAGGTGTAGAAGTAGATTTGTAAACTCTAGATCTGGAACGATATGTGTCGGACATACAACAAAACACAAACGCGTGATATACATGTACATGTGAAGACACATGCAGGATTAGACGTTAACATGTTGAATGTGTCTTGATATCAGCTTCGTGCTGTTATCAGCCACATACATTTTATCAAGGCATTTTAAAAGACAAAACACATATATATTAAAATGTTATTTTAGTAATAGAATCTGAACTTTACTGAGAAAGTGTTATCCCAAATATAACATTTGGTACATTTGACCACTTTCTAAATGACATGGTGTGAACACATATATATTCATTTTGCAAATGACATTATATTTGCATGTCACCTTTGAAAGTGAGGATACCAAAGGAAACAAAGACTTCCAATCGTGTTCATGTGACAACACACATGGCAAAAATAAAATCGGTTTTGAACATTTTGCCCCTGAAGACCAACAATCAAATACAATTATCACTGAAACACCAATACACCCCTTATCACTAGCCAACACTAATATAGTAATATACCCTAATCACTAGCCAACATTAATATAGTAATATACCCTAATCACTAGCCAACACTAATATAGTGATATACCCTAATCACTAGCAAACATCTATACACCTCTAATTCAACACCCCTAATCCAACACCTTGCCAAAACCAATATAATCCTGATAACTAGAAACACCCATATAAACTAAAACTGTGCAACACCAATAACCCCTAATCACTGGTCAGCACCAACATACAGCTCATTACTGACCAACACCAGTATGCCTCTTATCACTGACAAATACACACATATCCCTCATCGCGTCCCAACACCAGTATACCCCTAATCACTGGCCAACACCTATAAACCCTCATCATTGACCAACACCAATACACCCCTAATCCCAGGTCAACAGCAATACACAACTAATTATTGCCCAACATCATTATGCCCCTTATATCACTGACAAATACACCTATACCCCTCATCGCTGTCCAACACCTGTATACCCCTAATCGCGGGCCAACACCAATATACCCCTAAACGCTGACCAACACAAATATACACCTTATCTCTGACCATCACCAAGAACACATTTGCATGCATGAGACGATTGGCTTGTTAGATGGCATAGGTGATATTGGCAGTTAGTATGCGACATTAACTACCCGTCCATGTATGTCATAACTGGGATTGAAACCCCTTGTACACATGTGCGTGTTTCTAATTGGTCGAATGCTATATCATTGTGATGGGCGTGGTTTATGAATCGGTGATATTGTGTTGAAATCAAAAGGAGTGAACTCGTCCACTCTACAACTAGAAAAGAAGATGAATGCTCAAGCAAATATGACTGTTTAAGATGTTTACATATATATTTCGACACATTAGTCTATCTTTTAAACGAAAGCGATAAATGCGGTATACATCTAATTGCTATATTTACCAACACGGATGATTCTGTTACACTTTGTCATAAAGCATAATAATATCATCGGGGGCACGGGTGGCCCAATCGTTTAAGGCGCCGCGATTCGCTATGCAGAGTTGCGTCCCTTGGGCGCGCCATAATCCTATGATTGTGGGTTCGAATCCCGGTTCGCCCCGAATATGTTTCTAGGTTTGTCAGCACCATACCCGTGCTCGTGGGTTTCACCGAAGTAGTGACACGCCGTGATATAACTGGAATAGTGTTAAAAGCGGCGTTAAATCAAACTCACTCACTAATAATATCATCTGTTTGTTATGTTGTGTGAATGGTGTTAACAATGAAAGATAAAGGCTGTTTAACTTAGGAGTAACAGTTGTAACACATAATCTTGAGAGTTGAAGCTTTTGTGACAAATATATTCTTTGTTATTACATTTGAGAACTGAACGCAGCACGAATGTACGTATGCAGCCTCATCAGAATGTATGAACTGGAGTGTATCTCTGGGAGAGGTTGAGCAGTGAATTGTATTATACCAACATACAACAATAATTCTTTACCTAATAATGTGGAAAGGGCACTGTGCGATATCGCAGTTTCTTCAGGAAACTGTGTTGGACCGACGCGATGCAATGCTTCTTTAAATAACGGGGAGGGGACACTATGTCAGGCTGTCAGCGTCAACTATTAACGGTTACCACTATTGATAATTAGATTAGTAATACCATTACGACAATATACATTGCATCGTGTAACAGTTTCGTGTAGTAGTAATGTAACAGCTGTTCTCCAGGCGAATTCCGTTATATCAAACAACTAGCCCAAAGAAACTTTTTAACAAGTATAGCATCGCCAGAGCAAACCAAAACTCTGAGATAAATTCCAATTTCATAGGTTCCATGCCCGATAACAAATTTATCAACCTGTTAGGGATTTATAAATAATGTTCCGAAAATGCAATGAACAATTAAGCCTCATGACATAGCTAAGAAATGAATTGTTTAACCTGACGAAAGTGTGCTGTGGGTTCCCGAAATAGGAAAGACATTGTCTGGAAGCACGTGATAACATGGAGCGGGATACACACGGAAACAAGTCACACATTGTCAGCACCTGTTCCCACCTGAGTAGGCGTTATCACGGATAGCCTGACCAATCTAGCAATCCGATCATGTTAACGACGTACAACAAAAATACCATGTTCCCAATTCCTACTTGCGAAAGGGAGGATGCCAATTTATAAGCAATGGGGAACAGTTTGTCACAAGAAAGTCAAGATAAATGTCACCAGAAAGGTCATTACATTCCCCACCCTTTGTCCATTTCGTTTGCTTAATCTCAGCGTTATGTACAGAGTATTTGATAAACGTCATTGTGTATTGACCTAACGGAAGTCGCCTGTAGGTGTTTGGTAGATATATGCGAGCCCTATGTAGCCGAGCTACGAATACCTTCTCTGGTCTAATCATTGAACTAAAACCCGTCTTTGTCCAATTGATATATTTTCAGAAGCTCATGTTTAGCTTTTGTTTTCACTTTTGATGTGGTGGTTCTGAAATCAGATAAAGTTTGTTGTGCAATTAAACGCAAATGCATGTTGATATATCAGGTTACATAAGCCGAGTACATAGTTACTTAATCATGAAACAGACATACAGTGGTCATTTTTCTTGGGTAACGGTCTGAAACAGAAAAGGGAAGGAAACAGAGATATTAGGGTAGATTATTTGTGTGAAGGTGACGAGTGCGGACTGGGGTCGGGGTTTAGTGGTGCTGTGCATGAAGCGCTGGTCTCTATCCGACACTCCACGGAGGGTTGAAAACTTACAAAATGGCGTAAAGAATATTGACACTTAAGCGGTGTAACGTACACTGGTAGAATATCGAACGATAATGGAAAACATGTGTCATAACACTTGCATTGGTTTGATTGACTAATAGGTGAACTTCGTAAGAAAATTCCAAAGTTTCTTTAACGTTATAAAATTATTATATAAGTTTATTCATTGCAACAAAAGTGTATATATGATGCATTTGCATGCTAAACACATCAGTTGTTCTAGGTGTAGATATGTGTAAAAACAGTTTCTCTTAGAATTGCAATATACTGGACGAAACATAACTAAGGATTAGATATATGGATGAACAACGTCCTTATTACAATTAGGAGCGACGTTTCGGTGATCACTTGCTTGACAAAGGTGTTAGAGCCTACACCGAAACGTCGCTTCAAATTGTAATAAAGAAGTTGTTCATCCATATGTCCTATCCTATCCTTAATTAGTACTCCAACTTCTATATGCTTCTCAAAGAATTTGAAAGAAACATAGCCTAAAAAAGAGAATTAATCTGGCCTTTTAAATCCATGTATACAAATTCAATATAGACGAATATATTGTGTGGTTTTAGGTAGTTCAGATGAAGCAGCCAAGTTGTATATTCGCGACAGCAAATCAAATAACTTGTCATTTCAACGTTCAACGTGTTGTTGCATCGATTTTATACAGCACAACAGGCGATTATGCAGTGAAAGAATCTTTACGCAATGTACTCTTATCTTATGGACACATAAGCATTATGTATTTTTTCTGATAATTGGTTAAAATCACTGTTGATACTATATATGGGATACCAAGCTCGTTCTTATTCCATATCAAGTTTATATGTATGTTCCTCCTGAAATATTTGTTTCAAATCCACAGACAAGTAAATATTTTTCCAATCGGGACATACAGTTTATAGGAAATGGAAATGTCGTTCAGATCCAATGAGTTAAATATAACTCCAAGCCTTACACAAGCCTTACACAAACCTCTCTACCCCACTACCCTCGACCCTACCAAATCCAGATAAATCCAACCCACCCCAACCCAACCAGACCCTGATCTGCTCAAGTTTGCATGAGAAAACTCCACATGAATATACATATGAACACAGCTAACACACGCGACAAATATTTGACACAGCTGAAAGAGGTTATCGGGTGAAAGGTCTACTCACTCTTTTCTGCAGTTCCACAAGCAACAGGCGACAATGATGATGATGAGGCAGACGCCGATGGCGATAATAGCGGCGATCAGACCAATGTACAAACCGTCTCTCTCCAGTGTGAAAGAAGAGCTTTTTCCTGAACACAGAATGTGTCAATTGTCAGAACAACAGTATGTATGCCAATTGCCAAAACAACAACATGCAACATGTCAAAACAACATTATATCACTTGTAAAAACAAAAATATACCACTTGTCAAAACAACAATATGTCACTCGTCAAAACGACAATATGCCACTTGTAAAAACAAGAATATATCACTTGTCAAAACAGCAATATGTCACTTGTCAAAACAACAATATGCCACTTTTAAAAACAAGAATATATCACTTGTCAAAACAACAATATGTCACTCGTCAAAACAACAATATGCCACTAGTCAAGACAACAATATGCCACTTTTAAAAACAAGAATTTTCCCTCTTGTCAAAACAACAATATTCCACTTGTTAGAACAAGAATATGTCACTAGCCAAAACAAGAATATGCCATTGTCAAAACAACAATATATCACTTGTGAAAACAACAATATGCCACTTGTAAAAACAAGAATATACCACTTGTCAAAACAACAATATGTCACTCGTCAAAACAACAATATGCCACTTGTAAAAACAAGAATATATCACTTGTCAAAACAGCAATATGTCACCGTCAAAACAACAATATGCCACTTGTAAAAACAAGTATATACCTCTTGTCAAAACAACAATATGTCACTCGTCAAAACAACAATATGCCACTTGTAAAAACAAGAATATATCACTTGTCAAAACAACAATATGTCACGCGTCAAAACAACAATATGCCACTTTTAAAAACAAGAATATATCACTTGTCAAAACAACAATATGTCACGCGTCAAAACAACATGCCAGGCTTTTGTACAGAAAAGTTGGGGTCACAGTTGGCAATATTTATATTATATTCTGTGAACCTTAACAAACAACACCATATTTACCGACAAGTTAGCAGTAGAAATATTTGGGGTGAACCAAAGGACAGGGGTAAGGATAACAAATATGGCAAGGCTGTGAACCCACGACCAAAGGGTCCTTGCTTGGATAAGGGGACTAAATCTGCGAATGACATTAGACCAAGAAATATATAAAACAGCCCCTCACCCGTTGACGGACAATCACCTAGTCCACAGTTCACCACTTTAGATTCATACAGGTGGAGTACACAGGCGCGACCTCGATTCTTCGGTTCCGGATTGGTGCAGTTCCGGTGTCTGTCCGTAGTCCTAGTTGCCCCCTTACCGCAGGTTACCGAGCAGGATCTGTTGACCCAGGACCCCCACTCAGTCTCACCACCATCAACTGAAATTAGTGGTAAGCATCTTTGAAACGAACATTTCCTAGATGAAAACTACATGTATTAGAGCAGGGGCGGTTGGGTAGCCTAGTGGTTAAAATGTTCACTCGTCACGCCGAAGACCCGGGTTCAATTCCCAAATGGAATACATTTTTGAAATAATTAAATCCTTAGTTTCATTTTCCCACAAGTGTGAATATAGAGGAATATATAATTTTGTATTTCCCCCTAAACTGAGGAATACCTAAATGTAAGATGTCACTGTCAGTTTCTTCTTGTGATCCTTTAGGAGATGTATTGATTTGGATAAAGCAAGGTTCTCAATTTTAAATAGCAGTTTAACTGTTAAAACAAAATTATTTTTTTACAATTAACTGCGTGTCTATTTATCTACCTGTATACGCCAATGTACTTGTCTATATGCCTTCAATTACAGGCAACTATACCTATTTACTTGCACTTGCATGTCACTGTACTCGTCTATTTGCGCTACTTCATGTATTCATGTCACTGTACCCGCCTATTAGCGCAACTACACATGTCACTGTACTCGTGTATTTGCACACATATACATGTCACTGTACCCGTCTATTTGCACACATATACATGGCACTGTTCCCGACTATTTGCACACATATACATGTCACTATACCCGTCTATTTGCCCACATATACATGTCAATGTACTCGTGCATTTGCACACATATACATGGCACTGTTCCCGACTATTTGCACACATATACATGTCACTATACCCGTCTATTTGCCCACATATACATGTAACTGTACCCGTCTATTTGCACACATATACATGTCACTGTACCCGTGTTTTTGCACACATATACATGTCACTGTACCAGTCTATTTGCACACATATACATGGCACTGTTCCCGACTATTTGCACACATATACATGTCACTGTACCGGTCTATTTGCACACATATACATGTCGCTGTACCCGTCTATTTGCACACATATACATGTCACTGTACCCGTCTATTTGCACACATATACATATCGATGTACCCGTCTATTTGCACACATATACATGTCACTGTACCAGTCTATTTGCACACATATACATGTCACTGTACCCGTCTATTTGCACACATATACATGGCACTGTTCCCGACTATTTGCACACATATACATATCACTGTACCCGTCTATTTGCACACATATACATTTCACTGTACCTGTCTATTTGCACACATATACATGGCAATGTACACGTCAATGTTCACAAATATACATGTCACTGTACCCGCCTATTTCCGCACATATAAATGTCACTGTATCCGTCTATTTACACACATATACATATCGATGTACCCGTCTATTTGCACAAATATACATATCAATGTACCCGTCTTTTTGCACACATATACATCTCATTGTACCCGTCTATTTGCACACATATACATGTCACTGTACCAGTCTATTTGCACACATATACATGGCACTGTTCCCGACTATTTGCACACATATACATGTCACTGTACCGGTCTATTTGCACACATATACATGTCGCTGTACCCGTCTATTTGCACACATATACATGTCACTGTACCCGTCTATTTGCACACATATACATATCGATGTACCCGTTTATTTGCACACATATACATGTCACTGTACCCGTCTATTTGCACACATATACATTTCACTGTACCCGTCTATTTGCACACATATACATGGCACTGTACCCGTCTATTTGCACACATATACATATCGATGTACCCGTCTATTTGCACACATATACATGTCACTGTACCCGCCTATTTCCGCACATATACATGTCACTGTATCCGTCTATTTACACACATATACATATCGATGTACCCGTCTATTTGCACAAATATACATATCAATGTACCCGTCTTTTTGCACACATATACATCTCATTGTACCCGTCTATTTGCACACATATACATTTCACTGTATCCGTCTATTTACACACATATACATATCAATGTACCCGTCTATTTGCACACATATACATGTTACTGTACCCATCTATTTGCACACATATACATGTCACTGTACCCGCCTATTTGCACACATATACATGTCACTGTACCCGCCTATTTGCACACCTATACATGTCACTGTACCCGCCTATTTGCTTACCTATATCTACTACTGTCAGGTTCTATTCACGTACCTTCACATCCGGGCATTATACATGATATTGTCCGGGTCTCGGAAGACGGCCCTGAACACTGTAGGCCGCCGTTCTGTGGTCGGGGATTAGTGCATGAGCGAGTTCTTGTGTCTGTCTGTGTTCCGCCATCACAAGAACCTGAGCAAGAGCCCCTGACCCAGTCGCTCCAGAGAGTGTAACCCCCATTCACTGAAATACAGAATAATCGGTTACCTCCGTTATAGGCTCAAATGGTCCAACTGTGATGACAATTATATGAATCGATCACTGAAAGTCAATGATGGCACCAGGTGTTCGCGTAAAGAGCAAACATGTTCTGTTCTACCGGTACCAATCGCCGCTTACATGTTTTGGACAAAGTTGCCTGACATCGTATCCACCATACTCCTGCTATACCACGACTGCTTGGAAACAATACAGACTGTATTGTTTCCAAGCAGTCGTCGAAACATTGAGTCTTCGTTGGGCCAGACAATTCAGTAGTGGCGAGTTACACACGCATTAACATTGAAAAGCAGGTGTGTGTGTCTGTGTTTGTGTGTACGTACGTGCGTGAGCGTGTGTATGTGCGTCCGTGCGTGTACGTACGTGCGTGTGCGTGTGTACGTACGTGCCTGTGCGTGTGCGTGTGCGTCTGCGTGTGCGTGTCATTATTTTAACGTTTATATGTCACGATGCACTAGGTTGAGATATTTTAGCCTACTTGTACATGTCACGGTGCACTGTGTTGTGGTAGTGTAGCCTACCTGTACATGTCACGGTGCACTGTGTTGTGATAGTGTAGCATACCTGAAAATGTCACGGTGCACTGTGTTGTGGTAGTTTAGCCTACTTGTACATGTCACGGTGTACTGTGTTGTGGTAGTGTAGCCTACCTGTACATGTCACGGTGCACTGTGTTGTGGTAGTTTAACCTACCTGTACATGTCACGGTGCACTGTGTTGTGGTAGTTTAGCCTACCTGTACATGTCACTGTGCACTGTGTTGTGGTAGTTTAGCCTACCTGTACATGTCACTGTGCACTGTGTTGTGGTAGTGTAGCATACCTGTACATGTCATGGTGCATGGAGTTGTTCTAGTCTCTGACGTTGGCCCTGAACACGGTTGACCTCCGTTCTGAGGCAAAGGACTGGTGCACGTGCGTCTTCTTGTGTCCGTCGTCATCCCGTCTCCGCACGTCACTGAACACTGACCACTGGTCCACATGCCCCATTCACTGAAGCCGCCATCGACTGTAACAGTGTGCATCAAGCACATGTTCTTATCAATGTAACCGATAAGAGCTACTGTTACACAAATAACTATCACTGTAAGAGCAAACATTATACAGACCCATTGATGTTCTGATCGTTTATTAATACCATGGTTCGATATCAGATGTTTGTTTGTTTGTTTGTTTGTTGCTTAACGCCGTACTCAGCAATATTCCAGCTACATGACGGCGGTCTGTAAAAAATCGAGTCTGGACCAGATAATCCAGTGATTGACATCACTAGCATCGATCCACGCAATGGGGATACGATGACATGCATTAACCAAGTCAGCGAGTCTGACCACCCGATCCCTCTTACGACAAGCTTACGACTCGCTTTTTATGGCAAGCATGGGTTGCCGAAGACCTATTCCTTCCTGGATATTCACGTGTTGTAGCCGCTTGTATCAGTGAAGCAAAGTAGCTGTATAATTCACGGAGTGTACGATGACTGAGGAAGCAAGTACAAACTACAATGGTGTCATACATCGCAGGAAGGTACTTCTTGAGTTTAACCTAGGACCAGGACTCGTATCACGGGATCTTAAAAGCGGAGGTTTTATTATAAAAGGAAGGTAGGTTATCAGTAGTCAATACCAGGGGTTGTGGATCGAAGAGTGAGAGCAGCAGTCGTCGTCTCGCCGTTGACGACGAAGGAGTAGTTGCCAACGTCAGACGCCTGTACATTGGAGATTGTCAACCTCTGGGTCCGCCCAATTGATTCGATACGCGTTTTAGATGAATTAGTAAGTGTGTTGCCATTCTTTTGCCAGTAGCCGACAGCGTTGTCTTGGCTCAAGGCTGCTTCAAAGACAACCGCCCCACCAGGGACCGCAGATTGACTCTGCAGCTGGGACTGAATGGCTGAAGTAGACAGATTTACAGGTAAAGTAAACTCTTTTTATAATGAACACGCTTATTACGAACTGACAAATATAACGGACATATCTTTTAGTCCCGACCATTTGTTGTATTATTGCTGTATATATGCTTATAACGAACTACGGTTATTACGAACTAAAATTAGTGGTCCCTTCGATTTCGTTATAACCGTAGTTTATTGTACAACAACAATTCAAAACCAAATGAATATTCGTACATCTATCACACCTGTTGAAGATTCAACCTTTCTTTAAGGGATCTAGAATAATTCAGTGTCGAAATATTATAGTTTTACTACGAGTCTCGTATTTACAAATCTTTTACAGAGCCGTTGTCACTCACCACCGCACACTGGCAGGTTACAATTCTCCTGCGATGTCTGCTGGGTGTCGCCCACACAGTCACTGCCCCCGAACGACGGGGCTGGGTTGGTGCATGTCCGGGTGCGGATGAGTGTCTTCATGACGTCAGGTCCACATGTCTCCGTGCAGGGAGTTGTTGTGGTCCACATGCTCCACTGAGTAAACCCGCCATCAACTAGGCATCAAAGAAGTTGTCAACAGTTAAAACTCCTTTAATTATTTCCCGCGGGATATACTGCATATTATATGTGCCTCCTTCATGTCTTGACACTTTTATCACATAGATTCTCAGAACAGCCTTGCACGAGTTTACACAACAGTGTTCAGACTACTACTAGGAGTCGAATGATGCTTCACTTTCGTTACGAAATTTGTCTGCATGAATTGTCATCAAATTTCTAAAAAATAACTATTTTCTCGTCTTTCTCTTTAGTAGAAGTTAAAAAATATAATTCAAAGCATGACAATGCGAATGTCGGAATGACATGATTATGTATATTCAAAAGGAATTTACAATGGTCACTTACCTGGACAAAAACTGTCCATACAAATAACTGTCCTGGTCTCCTCTAATGACTGTGTACAGGTGCTGCCGCTGTTGCATGTTCTGCTGCGTATCTGAGTATGGAAGACTGCACGGCCACAGGTAGCGGGGCAGGAGGGATTGCTCCAGCTGCTCCACTCGGACACTCCGCCATCAACTGTGAGAAACCGAAAATTCGAGGTCCAAATACGTCATTGTACTCTGTTGCTGATCAAGATGATGCCTACAGAAGCAGTTTATGAGGTTTACCTCCCTTTATGGAATCCATGATTAATGTGCTTTGTAAGGCAGACATCTGCCTGTATTCGGTCTGGTAGACCATGAACTCTACATGTTCACCACCTCATTACATTTGTATGTTCAATGGAGAATCTCACCTAAGTGTCTATTGATATGAAATATATCGATCTACACGTGTCGATAAAAGTTTAATACTCCTCGGTAAGCCTCGGGGTTTTAAACTTTTATCGACGAGTGTTGATACATTTGATTTCAAATGACACAAGGGTGATATTCTATTTATCATCCAACAACATTCTTTCTACTTTTTCAGTTTGAAGACAGGAATAAGCAGTGTCAAATGTACTGCTAACAGCTTCAGTAGCAGAGCCAATAGTGATTTCATTTGATTGTGATGTGATGGTTACCAATGACATTACAATGGTCTGAAAAGCATCGTGATGCAATTTCATTGAAGCGATATCTACAATGTAAATATTGCTTGATCTCACCCAAGGATAGCTCCTGTGGGAGCCAGGTTTGGATGATAAAGACCATTCCTTTTCTTCCTGAAGACCAATAGTTGGTACCTGGTATACCACCCTGTCGCTCTGATGGAACTCAGAGATAATATCTATCTCTTCCACACACCACTAGAACTGCCTTAGGCAGTATACCATGTCCCATCTGGTAGTTAAGATAATATGTCAGTTGTACTGTAAAAACCTTAAAACGTGTACCATATCCCATTTGGTAGTTTAGATAATATGTCGGTACTTGCCCGACACACGGTAACTGTTGCCACCCCCTGGGTGATGAAACAAGTTCACTTCTGACAGATACGTGCAGGGTTTGTCTCAAACAGTGGGTGTCAGTACGTTATTGTTGTACTTACCACAAGTCGACGGCCCACACTCAACTTCATTACTTTGTCCAGGCTGACCAGAGCAGGGAGTTCCACCATTGCTGGGAGCTGGGTTATCACAGGACCTGGTTCTGGTGACGTTGTGTCTGGCTGTAGGACCACACATGGCAGGACAGGGGGGACTACTCCACTGTGTCCACGCACCCCAGTTTCCGTTTGTTGCACCTGAAACTATTTCGGAACTAACCCTTACACACTACAGTGTATAAATCATTCGCATTTATTATTTATATGGTGTCAGCAATGTCTCCGAAACACACACGTATACTCGTTTATATTAAGGGTCGCATGAACTAAAACCAATTTTACACCTCACAGCCATAATTGCGAAATATGTCCCATTGTTTATTCTTGGCATAATGAGAGGCCACTGACCCATAGTTACACATCATTACAAAGTATGCATGTTTCTTCCAACCGGCAATGCATGATGTATGCACATTACTGCCTAGAAGTTCATTCACTGAAGTGTATTGACCACTAACAATATTGCGTTTCACTCATATCTCCAAAACGCACGTGTCAGTGTGTTCTAGTTATCCTGGCGATCGTCAAAATTACACGTTACTACTCAGAGTACTTTCTTCTTTCTAAAAAAACATCTATGAAAACACAATGCCATTTAGAAAGTAGTCAAATGTAACAAATGTTACATTTCATTTGGGATAACACTTTCTTGGTAAAGTACAGATTCTCGTACTTTTTTGGTTGAGTCCCGTCTGTAGGAATATGTACTGACAAATGTATACTTTTCACTTGACCAATTAAAGTGTTGTGTGTTTAGTTTAACTTAAAGTCCTTCAAGGTAAATAAAAGAGACTTGAATCGTGTGTTGTTTACCTGTTGTAACAGTGAGCCAAGCTGTTGTCGTCTCCCCGCGGACTTTGAAGGAGTATTTGCCGCTGTCAGACACCTGGACGCTTTGTATGTACAGGTAGCTGTTACCAACGTTTGATGTCTGAATTCGGGGGTCAGTAATTGCGCCATCGTCTTTCTGCCACACCCCTGTTAGACCTGTCTGTGTCAACGCGACCTGGAAGAGCATCTGAAGACCTTCTCTTCTCGTGGCGTTCTCCAGTTTAGAAGTGAATATAGAGGACCCTTCAGGGAAAAACACGAGTAAGTTAGAAATGTCAAAATATCATATTGCTAGGATACACGGGTGCGTATAAAACACCGTGAAACAATATTCTCTGTAGTTTCACAATATTTTGTTATCAACCAAGGTGCTTCTTTTTATTGCATTAACTACGAAATGACAAATATCATTAGCTACAAACAGCTCGATATGCTGTTATTAACCATTATCATGTGGATTTTACTGATGTCGGGTCCATGATTGTTGGCCATATATAGCGACGTGCATTCACGTTTGGCGTGTGTATCGGTAGGAGTATCTGCTTGCACTAGTCCGGGCTATTTACAATGGTTTAATCGTGCCAGCCCTCTGATATATCCTGCAGCAGTTAAACATGAATATCCCACTCAGACACAGTACATTAACCCCGAGCCGATCAGGCCTTGTTTTATCCCCATGCCAAGCGCCAGGCAAGGTAACAACAAGTACCATCTTTTTACGTCTTTTGGTAATTCCTGGCTGGGGATCGAATCATAGACATTCCACTCCATTGTCAGACGTTCTATCCACTGGACCAATGTTCCAGTTAAATGGACAACACCATGCACACATAATTTGTTAATACGGACGATTTTACTGGGAACAGTCCAGAATAACGGGGTCTAAGGGTATAAACCAGACACGTCCACCGTACTGTTTTTATTTACTACATATAACAGATGATCATATTATTCGCACACAGCAGTTGGCAATAGTTGTTTAGCGCCGCACTATTCCAGTAAGTTCATAGAGTGTTCGAGTTTTGATATTCAGTCTTCTATTTACGTATTACAGGACGGAAATCTATTTGTCATTTGTCATTCAACATCTCACAACATCTGTTTCGGGGAGCAATCATATCAACGGTTATTAAAGTAAATTTAAAAGTGAGTGAGTGAGTGAGTTGTGTTTAACGCCGCTTTTAACAGTATTCCAGTTATATCACGGGGTGTCAGGTTAATGTGGGAGGAAGGCCCGAAGTGATGCAGGTCTCAGACATTTACCACTTCGGTGAAACCCACAAGCAGGGTATGGTGCTGATAAACCTAGAAACATAATCGGGGCGAACCGGGATTCGAACCCACAATCATATGTTTCTGGTGTGTCCAAGGGACGCAACTCTGCACAGCGAATTGTGGCGCCTTTGCCGTACTGGGCCACCCGTGCCCCCTAAAGTTTAAAACAGAACGTTAAGCTGACAACGTACTCCAGCATTTGAGTCATCAGGTGACTGAAGTTAAACTGATTGTGACGTCTTGCGTTAAATATCAAACGTATTGGAACGAAGGTAAACATAGGAGAGATATGTCACTTTTGTTGTACTTACCACAATTTACCGGCCCACACTCAACTTCATTAATTTGTCCAGGCTGACCAGAGCAGGGAGCTCCACCATTGCTGGGAGCTGGGTTATCACAGGACCTGGTTCTGGTGACGTTGTGTCTGGCTGTAGGACCACACGTGGCAGGACAGGGGGGACTACTCCACTGTGTCCACGCACCCCAGTTTCCGTTTGTTGCACCTGAAACTATTTCGGAACTAATCCTTACACACTGAAGTGTATTAATCATTCGCATTATATGGTGTCAGCAATGTCTCCGAAACACACACGTATACTCGTTTATATTAAGGGTCGCATGAACTAAAACCCATTTTACACCTCACAGCCATAATTGCGAAATATGTACCAATGTTTATTCTTGGCATAATGAGAGGCCATTGACCCATAGTTACATATAATTACAAAGTATGCATGTTTCTTCCAACCGGCAATGCATGGTGTATGTACACTACTGTTCAGAAGTTGATTCCCCTTACACGCATGGGCAATGCATGACGCAACCCGTGTTCAGTTCAATGTGAAAATGCAGCATGTGCGGTGAACATGAGTGCGCAAAACAAATTGATATTTGGACAACATGTAAACTATGGAATATATTTGTTCATAATTGAAGATTGTGTTTACAAACAAGTATAAAATGATACTCACATTCTATAACATTAAGACGTAACACATATTGTTAGAGATAATAATAACTTCTGAATTGAGCTGGCGAGACTCGAATCTTTTTTATTGTAACAGATACCATATATTTGAGCATAGAATGTTGTGAGAGGGTTTTCGTAAAGTCATATATTGATCAAATATTTAACAGCGATCAACCAGTAAGGACAATCTTTAAGAAATCCAGGTGTTAGTCCTCTCTGAAAGTGTGTTTCACCATCTCGCCTTGCATTCCATCCACATGAACGCCATGACGCCAGGATGTGTTTTACTTGGTCAACTATTAAAGTGAGTATAGTTTTACGCCGCTTTTAACAACATTCCAGCAACATCGCGGCAGGTTACACCAGAAATGGGATTCAGCTATGTGGGGAATCAAACTCGGGCCTTCGGCGTGACATGCCAACACTTAAACCAATGGGCCTCCACACTGACCCCATAAACTATCAGAAAAACAACATAATTGAATTTCCAGATTTAAGGTTACCCTCCACAAGTTGTGAATTCTACACTGTCATCAAAGTGATTAAACTACTAAGCGAAGTGAAAAGTCGTTATGTTTGAAACGTACACTACAGTGCATCAAGCATGTTAGTTGGTAAGTAGGATATAGCGTAAACTCGCTATGATATAGATTCTCAAGTCAGGTAAAATGATTAATCAAAGTGCTCGAATACGTTTCATGCCAGTTACATGAGATTGATGTCATCATACCTCAGTACAAAGATGTGATATACTTATTAATGTTAATTCATATATTTATTGAATACGATGCATAAACAAATAAGCATTGCAATATTTCTGTTACCTGACAAAAATGCAATTTTCAGTCATGACTGCTCGACTCGTAACAGTTTCAAGGTTTGTAGGTCTTTCGGCGAGAAAACCATGTTATCTGACAAGATCACCCATGTAACATCTAGATACTGTAAGCACGTGTGTACCTGTTAACCATGCGGATGTCACGTCCCCATTGACCGTGAGTGTATAACGTCCGGAGTCCGACACCTGAGCATTGCTGATCAAGAAAATATGGTTCTTGCCAGGAGAAGTGATCTGATATCTGGAACCTCCAGTGATTCTGACACCATCACGTTGCCACGCCCCCGCGAGACCTGGCTGGGTCACGATGACCTGCAAGACCACGGCTTGACCGACTGGGACAGATATATTCCTCAGCCCGGATTCAATAGTGCCTTGATATGTGAGAGAAAATGTTCAGGACGAGTGCTCGCATTTGTATGGAGAAAATTGTTAAGTATTCAATGGCATATTAAGCATGCTAAAATCTAAATTAATCGATGTAATCCAAGGTAATCGACGATGTTAGATCTCAGCAGATTACTAGCCAACGTCGATTGGCAGAATACCGGTATGGAGAAGTTTATCCAAAGAGTTCAATATGTCCTGAAGTTCATACAAAAGTTATTCAGGGTGCTCATGATCATGACGGAGGGCCGCGTGGACACAGTTAATGCAGAACAACTTCTTTCATATACTGTTATACTGTTACTGACTTGCTTTACAACGGAATAAGTATCTTCTCCCAAACGTCTCTATATGATATGATAAAGAAGTTGTTACCAATACATTGTGTCTACTTTGAAATTAAAGAACCTCCAATCACGTAACTGTCTTTCAAGTGTCATAAATACATCATACAACGCATGACCTTTGTCCTGACTTACTCTTTGGTTCAATAACTACGCCATCAAAAGCGAAAGTTGAGGCAAAACTATAAAAGCAAACCAAATAAAGGCCACGAGGTGACACGAGCAATGCTGAAGCTAATGTACATGTCCTGTCATGTCCTACCATAGCGAAAATGCATTGCCCTATTTGCTGTTCTAGCTTAATGTTAAGGGAAAATATATGTAAGTACCAAAAGGCCTTGTCAACAATCACTCACTCATTGACTCACTGACTCACTCACAGACTCACTCACTGACTCACTCACTCATTGACTCACTCACTCACTCACAGACTCACACACTCACTCATTGACTCACTCACTCACTCAACGAGAGAAACAAAGTGATCTCGAATAAATAAGAGATGATCCATCGATCATAACAAAGTGGGGAGGAGATCATTTTAGTGAATCAATTGAAAACGTTTTAGAAATTGGTATTATCAAGAGACGTCATTTAAGCTTAAACAACGAGTGAAGTATTATTTCGAGATAACAGGATTTGTGTTAAGTAGGAAAATGTTGATGCCATATGCCATGTATATGAGAGAGAATACCAGTGTTTGAGTAAAAAAGGATTAACCATATTCAAGCCATTACAAAGCAAGTTCTTCGGTCTAACGAACGAAAGCTTTAACCACTATGCTACCAATAAACTTTAAGTAAAATGCCGTACATAAACAAAACGTCCGACGTCTTTGTATACATACCACAGGTAGTGGGTCCACACTCTTGAGTTTCACTTTGACTGCTTTGACCCGGACAGGAAGCTCCACCATTGCTGGGAGCTGGGTTAGTACAGGTCCTGAATCTGGAGACGGGGCGTCTGGCTGTAGGACCACATGTGGCAGGACAGGTGGAACCACTCCACTGTGTCCACTGACCCCAGTTCCCGTTAACTGGTGTGTCTAAAGCCATACATCAATGTAAGCATTCAGTACCCAAAATGCATTACAATACTAACACATCAATATTCTAGTTGTATCAGCAAAGATTTGAGCAATCATATACTATAATACTAAACAAAAAAACATACTTGAGCCTTGAACCGTCAACTGGGCTGAGGTCGTCTCTCCATTAGCAGTGAAGGAATACTGCCCAGAGTCGGACACTTGTAGACCAGAGATATACAGAATCTGAGCATTGCCACTGGGAACAAGCTGATGCTTGGCGTCTGCGGTTATCGTGACACCGTCCTTTGTCCAGACACCTGTGACACCTGACTGAGTAAGGTCCACCTGGAATATCACCTGTCCACCAACGGACCGAGTCACGTTCAACAGTTGCCGTGCAAAGATAGACGTCACTGTAACAACATGATTGTGTATATTAGAAAACATATTCATCAAACCTATTTCAAATATTTGTTTCCCTCTACATATCTTAGAGGCGTCTTCCATGTCTTTGTTGGACATGAGCTGATACGTATATAATCGACGGTTCTTTAAAATAGTCAATGTATCGCATCACAGATAGTTTTTCCTGTGTGTACTTTTTTTTACATCAACGCGACACAACTGGCTGCACGGTTTCGAGACCTTATGTACCTCTGCAATTCAGAATTACCAATAATACAATACGTATTTAACATAAGCAAGATAGTAAATTGCATGCTGTAAAGCACAATGCAGTGTTTTCAATGCATGTGAAATGTCTTGTACCTGCGTTTATCAATCCTTATCATTATCAGGTAAATACAAATACACGGAATGATGTGGGCGATGGATACATGATCCAAGGTAGGATCCAACCACAGCAATTGTCATGTATGGAAAGTAGGAACGTTGTTTGTCTATTTTCACTGTGTCATCGTCTCGATACAATCACAGAACTGGAAAGTCACAAAACAACAACCCACAAGGAATGTATAATACACACATTAAAATGCAGCAAGCGCTTTTCTCCATATCGTTTGAATGCAAACTGTAACAACTTTTCTCTGACCTGACCTTCAACGCCTTTGCCAGTCGCATCATCAATGATAAATGTCACTATTAATGTCTCCGCAATTCGGACACAGACATTCACGATTCTCTGTCACGTGACTGTTGTGACACCAGGTGTTTGAGAACCACGTGATCATGTCCTGACCAACTGGTAGTCCCGTCAGCGACAATTAGAAAGGCGACTCCGTGTGTTTAAATAAACATGTACTTGGTCGATTGAGTGGCAGTATGTCTGATGCTATACTAAACAAATATCATCAATATTTTTATGAAATTGTGTGCTACGTCTTCACTACAAAATGTATCTCCCAAAGTATTTAAGAACTGCCTTCACTTTGAGTGACTTCACTGGAGAATGAATCTTCACAGAGTGAGGGCCAAACTGTATGCACGTCGGAGCGTGCGACGTATGTATGCTCATCATTCTTTACAGGAACATCTGTTGTAGTTTTGTTTTTTTTGACATTTTTTATTCCTTTCAAAGGGCAACATCTGTTGTAGTTTCCTTACGACAAATGTATTCAAATACTACCACATTTGGATAAGAAAGGTCTGTTAAGAACTACCCCAACGTCAAGTACAAAACATCAAAATGGCGGCCACGATTAACGTGACGGGAGAGAATGATTTCCGAAGTTGCGGTTACATGTGTTCGTCCATTCTCCTTCCCAGAGTTCCATGCGACCAGCATCTTACCTCTGCCACGGGCCCGCGCCATGTAACAATTCGTCACATCTAATACAGTCCATTCAAGAAATTGCATATGTTTTTCATCTGTTTCATTTTTGACAAGTCTACATATCTACACAAATCTATGTTTAAGAATGGTTAACTTTCATTGAGAAAATATCCTAAATCGTGAAAACTATTTTCATTTGCGTAGTTATCCTATGTTTACATTGGTTGTACGGCTCCACGTGCTGTTATACGGAGAGCTAGCGATACGTTCACTTTGATGTGTAAATATAGTATTGTTATCAACTCACTCTCGCAGTTGTAGTAGCATATTTATACAGTATGCAAAACAATATGTAAAGCGTCCCAAATACTTGCATTAGTCTGTTCTATTCTGATTTTTGAAAAAGCACGTTTGTTTACAGACAAGAGAAAAGTCCGGTCACGTGATATGCAAATTAGCCTGTGGCAGTGGTGTTATGCTAAGTCACCACTGCGCCGGAGTGTGGTGTTAGTCATCATTGATCAATTGGTCGTTCAATGAAACGTGATAATAAAGATGCGTCAAATTTATGCTAAGGTAAATTCATAGATTGCTGAAGACTGTAACTGTCAGACCAGACACGGAACGAGTCGACAGACTACTACGGCAGTTTTAGTGCATTTCTTCGTTTTGTTCACAAAGATGGGTTGTAGCGGGGATGTTCGTCAACGGGCATGCAGTCAAACTCTCTGATGTTTCTCAGTGTATGCTAAAACGCGGAGTTCAAGATAAAAGGGTCTAAATGATCAGAAACAAGGCTTATCTATGTGTACGTGACTTGGAAATGCGGAAGTAGCCCGTCATTGTTAAGGTCATTTTTCAAGAATACGGTCGCGTGAAATACGAATGACGTTAAATTGTGACGTTCATACTCTGTGAAGGTCAATTACGCGGTCACGTGACTGAGCTCTCGTCAAATGGAAAAACCGTACACTTTTGTTGTACATACCACAATTTACCGTCCCGCATTCAACTTCATTAATTTGTGCGGCTGACCAGGGCAGGTGAAATCGTGCAAAATTCACATTAAAAAATGATATGAAGATATGGTTCTTTTGTTCGTACCACAGGTAGCTGGACCACACTCTCGAGATTCACTTTGACTGCTTTGACCCGGACAGGAAGCTCCACCATTGCTGGGGGCTGGGTCAGTACAGGTCCTGGATCTGGAGACGGGGCCTCTGGCTGTAGGACCACACGTGGCAGGACAGGTGGAACCACTCCACTGTGTCCACTGACCCCAGTTCCCGTTAACTGCAGTGGCTATAATTATAATGAAATCGTCTCTTTTGTAATCCATAACCAGTAGGATGAAATGATAATGTGACTGTTTACCTTCTAGCGCCCCACAGGAAGCTTGGCTTGTATATCCCCCAGGGAGCTGAGAATGAAAATCGAGTGCACACTGATCCATCGACCAGTATTAATGTAGCGCTTTAAACACACCTCAGGGTGTGGATATGGCGCAAATATATACACATTATGATAACTGTCTCTGGATCAACAAAGAAAACATACGTTATGGAAACAAACTATGCCTTGTAATGTTTGTTTGTTGTTTAACGCCGTACTCAGCAATATTCCACTTATATTACGGCGGTCTGTAAATAATTGAGTATGAACCAGACAATCCAGTGCTTGACATCATGAGGATCGATCCACGCAATTGGGATGGATGACATGCATCAACCAAATCAGCGAGTCTAACCACCCGATCCCGTTAAGACAAGCATATTCGTCTTTTACTCAAGCATGTGTACAAACTATGCTCTATGTAAACATATAAAGTTATCTTAATGACTCTTAAACACTTCATGACGGTTCCCGGATTTGCCACAGAAGGGTCCTAGGCAATGTGAGCCTTCCAGAACAAACAACCATGTTAAATGCAGCAATACATGCTTTGGAATAAGTGAGTGGATTTACGCCACATGGAGCAGCATCTTGGTTATTTCCTATCATCAACATCAAGTGGGAGGAGCATCCAAACTGAAAAAGCCTGATGTGTACATACCACAGGTAGTGGGTCCACAATCTTGAGCATCACTTTGACTGCTGGGACCCGGACAGGAAGCTCCACCACTGCTGGGAGCTGGGTTAGTACAGGTCCTGGATCTGTAGACGGGGCCTCTGGCTGTAGGACCACACGTGGCAGGACAGGAGGGACTACTCCACTGTGTCCACTCCCCCCAGTTCCCGTCCACTGGACCTGAAGCTATACAGGCAGGCATCCTTACACAGGGAAGTGTATGCTATATATATAGTTTAAAAGAGGTAAAGTCTAAAGTTGTACATAATATAACTGCATATATTTTCCCTTATTCAGGTTCATTCACACTATGACTGTGCTTGATGTCGATTGGAGATTCGTAAGTGACCGCCCCCTACACAACACAGAATAGGAAACATGATAGCATGACATGAACCAAAGAACAATAGGTTATTTTATGTCATAATCTGACAGAGTTATTGTATGTGTCGGTGACTCTGCTACATCACCTACCTCCAACTGTGAGATAGGCTGACGTGGACCGGCCCTGTATAGTGTAGGTATATCTTCCACCGTCAGATGCCACGAGGTCAAATACGAACAGCTGGCGATATAGGCCATTTGCGGTCATCATCAGTTTGCCTTGAGCAGGGGAGAGTGGGGTGCCTTCCTTGGACCACTCTCCGTCTCCCGTGACTCCAGCAACGACTTGAACGATGAAAAAGGGAGTCCCTCCAGGCGCTTCCGTGACATTTTTCATGGTGATCTGAAAAACTGGGAAACAGTCGTTCGTTAGGGATGTTATTGTTTATTCAACGCTTGCCATTATGAATTATGAGATAAAAAAAACAGCTTCTCGGGACAATGTCTACATCACTCGTGTAGTGACTCATTTTAAACTGAACAATCATAAACTCATCGGACAAACACCTGATATCGTCACTCATCAACACAAGCTCAAGATGAAGTCGGAATCGTGCAATGTAGTCATTTAGCAGCGATTTCTCATGGAAAGGGGTTTGCTGCTGTTATTCACCAAACACATTCGTTCCTGCCCACCACAAATAATCAAAACATTTGTTAAGATGTATCATAATTAAAACGGCCACTCATATTATAATTTGTTTGGTCAACTTCTTCAAAGGCATCATTAAAGTTGTTCTGATTGTATTTCGGAGTGAACTCCTCTCGTTTAAGAATACATTCCCCTACGGTAAGGTCTGCAGACCGAAATCTGCTACCATATACATGTAGCTGTATACTGAATCTTTAGTTTCCATAGTGTCGCCGTTAACTTGAACAGACGTGTTTTGCAAAACATGGTACCACAGGGATAACATTCTGTATGGTTATGAATTAAGAAGGTCAATTTAGACATCTTAGAACCGATATATGGACGTCCATACCGAGCACTGTTCTATACAGTCGATCTTCGTTAAGAGTTGATCGATACTGCATTTCTCATATATTGAATATCGACTTACACAGCCACAATATTCCAGTTCCAGTTCATTCCACTTCCGACATGTGACTTGTAAATATCGGCGAACATTTATCTTATAGTCGATCGCCGGTTATTCATGTAAGCTATTTTGCCCTTCACGCCAAATAGAATCTGGTACTTCAGGATATCACGGAGTGTCTCACTGTGCGTCAGGGCAACGCAGGTATCGATCATGGTGCAGGTAGAACAAAGATAATCATAAAGGCGAAACTGGCATTCGAGCCCTGACCACCGGGTTCTGTCAGCCGAGGGGCGTCTATGTAAACGTACCCATGTGGGGAAACTAGTGTTCTGGTGTTCAGTGTGTAGACTAGTTGAATGTATTGGCGCTTTACGATCTACCTGTCAAGCAGGAAGTCCCTTGATCCCCACCTACACAAAACTCAAGAAATGAAACAACAAAATACTGTCTTGGTATTTTTGTGCCACCAGAGACTCGTCTCGTGGAGTGATAGTAAGTTAACTTGTCTACGCCGCCGTCGACAATATACATGAGTGTTGGCTCTGATAATCCACTGATTGCATAAGCAAGGATCAATGCTGTCGGGGCACTGCAACCAGGTCACGTGTTGAACATCGGATACTCATGAGACGGCTGAGAACCAAAGAATACCAAGAATACTGGTGACATACCCTGTCCATGACTCCCAAAGATGAGACAGGCAAGGGAACAAGTGACATACACTATCCATGAGTTCCAACAATGAGACAGGCAAGGGTACTGGTGACATACCCTATCCATGAATTCCAACAATGAGACAAGCAAGGGTACTGGTGACATACACTATCCATGAGTTCCAACAATGAGACAGGCAAGGGTACTGGTGACATACACTATCTATGAGTTCCAACAATGAGACAAGCAAGGGTACTGGTGACATACTCTATCCATGAGTTCCAACAATGAGACAGGCAAGGGAACTGGTGACATACCCTATCTATGAGTCCCAACAGTGAGACAGGCAAGGGTACTGGTGACATACTCTATCTATGAGTCCCAACAATGAGACAGGCAAGGGTACTGGTGACATACACTATCCATGAGTTCCAACAATGAGACAAGCAAGGGTACTGGTGACATACACTATGCATGAGCTCCAACAATGAGACAAGCAAGGGTACTGGTGACATACACTATCCATGAGCTCCAACAATAAGAAAAGCAAGGGAACTGGTGACATACACTATCCATGAATTCCAACAATGAGACAAGCAAGGGTACTGGTGACATACACTATACAGGAGAACCACCAATGAGACAGGCAAGGGAACTGGTGACATACTCTATCTATGAGTCCCAACAATGAGACAAGCAAGGGTACTGGTGACATACACTATCTATGAGTCCCAACAATGAGACAAGCAAGGGTACTGGTGACATACTCTATCTATGAGTCCCAACAATGAGACAAGCAAGGGTACTGGTGACATACACTATCCATGAGTTCCAACAATGAGACAAGCAAGGGAACTGGTGACATACTCTATCCATGAGTTCCAACAATGAGACAAGCAAGGGTACTGGTGACATACACTATCCATGAGTTCCAACAATGAGACAAGCAAGGGAACTGGTGACATACACTATCCATGAGTTCCAACAATGAGACAAGCAAGGGAACTGGTGACATACTCTATCCATGAGTTCCAACAATGAGACAGGCAAGGGAACTGGTGACATACACTATCCATGAGTTCCAACAATGAGACAGGCACGGGAACTGGTGACATACACTATGCATGAGTTCCAACAATGAGACAAGCAAGGGTACTGGTGACATACTCTATCTATGAGTCCGAACAATGAGACAAGCAAGGGTACTGGTGACATACACTATCTATGAGTTCCAACAATGAGACAGGCAAGGGTACTGGTGACATACTCTATCCATGAGCTCCAACAATGAGACAAGCAAGGGAACTGGTGACATACTCTATCCATGAGTTCAAACAATGAGACAGGCAAGGGAACTGGTGACATACACTATCCATGAGTTCCAAAAATGAGACAAGCAAGGGAACTGGTGACATACTCTATCCATGAGTTCAAACAATGAGACAGGCAAGGGAACTGGTGACATACACTATGCATGAGTTCCAACAATGAGACAAGCAAGGGTACTGGTGACATACTCTATCCATGAGTTCCAACAATGAGACAGGCATGGGTACTGTGGCATACTCTATCTATGAGTCCCAACAATGAGACAGGCAAGGGTACTGTGGCATACATTACCACTGAGTTTAAACAATGAGACAAGCCTGGGTACTGTGGCGCTGTCTGTTCATGAGATCCTACAATGAGACAAGACTGGGAACTGGGAACCTGCTCTGCCCCGCAATCCCCACAGGGAACGCCAAGTGGAACCTCTTGGCGTCTATTGTTCAGTGTTTTACAACCCACACAGCCCACATAACTGAGTCATACCTCTAATCGGACGAATATATCGACTACACTATATGTCACGCTTCGCCGACCACACACAGTACAACTCAGCGTGCAGTATCCCCCTCACAGGTATGCGAAACGAAACACACAAAGTATCTGGGAGTCTATCAAAGCAGTTTCGTGAGCTCCATGTGATATTGCGTCGTTAAAAAATCCCGGAGTTATACATAGCGGTTAATAGCTCCCCGTCCCTGTGAAGCATGCGTTGTGAGGTCGAGTTGACTCTGTGTCACACGGCAGTAGGGGGACTTACATTTGGAAAGAAATAGTGTTAATGTCACTTACACAATGACATGTGAATGAAGGGTGCTACTGGTAGA